CTGCGAACATTGACAGGATACCACCACCTGGCAGGGGAGGAACGTCTGACCTGAAGATTTTGAATAGGATAGGCCCAAGCAGGCTACCCTGAGGGACCCCTGCATCAACGTTGAACGTATCAGAGGGGACATTGTTCAAGTAGACCTGAAATGATCTGCCCGACATGTAGTTTTTGATGATCTTCACGTGGTAGATCGGAAAATTGTATCGATGCAGCGTGTACACTAGACCATCATGCCAGACAATGTCCTACGCCTTCTCGACGTTCAACAATGCCATGGCAGATGTCTTAGAAACGGACTTATTCCGCTTGATGATGTTAGTAACCCGTGCGAGTTGGTGGATGGTAAAGTGGCCTTTTCTAAACCCGAATTGCTTTTTGAGAAAGATGTTATTTTCATTTGAAAACACCAGCAGACGGCTGAGTATCAACTTTTCGAATAGCTTCGAGATGGAGGACAAGAGGTTGATGGGGCGATAGCTTTTGGCACTGGTAGGAACTTTGCCCGGCTTGTGTATTGGAATCACTTTGGCTAACTTCCAGCATGCAGGGAAGTAGCCAAGCTTCAAACATTTGTTGAAGATAATGGTAAGATTGTTGAAGAAGTCAACACTCAAGTTTTTCAACTCGAGGTTGACTACACCATCCATACCCGTGACCTTCATGTTTTTAGTGCTTCTAATAGCTGCTATCACCTCATCAGCCGATATTCTACTATCATCATGCACTACTACGGGGATGTCAGCGACTCTAGACATTGCCTCCATTACGGCAGGCCCATGAGGGCTCACCATGGTTTGGCCAAAATTATGTGAAGCACAAAATGTTGGCCAAGAGCATTGGCCTTTTCAACTGGGGTTATGAGTAGGGATGGGTCCAAGTTCTGGTCAACAGAAGAAAGCGGAGGGATCGGTCTCGACTTATTTTTCAAAATTTTGGTCATCTTCCAAAATGGTTTTGCACAATCTTGTTGGCAAAATCGTTATTTCTGAGTTCCACCATCCTAGCCTGGATAATTTTGGTTAGCGTATTGACATTGGTCTTCAAGTGGGGCAGCCCAGAACGCTGGAACTGCCTACGAATGGTGTTACGGAGCCTAATAAGATCTTTGGTTGGGTTGTCAAGGTTCAGAGTATGACTCACCTGTCTGGATGCTGGTACGTGTTGCTCTCTGGCACGGGATATCGCCTTCGTAGTTGATTGCTGTGTCCACACAGCGCTGATACTGCTGCCAGTTGACACGATGGTAATTTCGCCGGTAAACTTGAAACCTATTGGCCGAGGAACCTACTTCGGCCACCACCGGATAGTGGTCCGAGCTCAGTTCCTGATAGGCGATAGGTTGAGAGATGTTATCGCCAATGTTGCTGATGAAGATGTCGATGGTGGCATGAGCTCCGGATCGACTCAACCTGGTGGGAGTGTCCGGACACAGGATGTTGTAGTGGGCTTCCTGCAGATCGTTGTATAATATTGAGCCGTTCTGGTTTCGCCGACTATTGCCCAGGCTTGATGCTTGGCGTTCAGGTCGCCAGCAATGACGAAATTTTGCCGCTGTCGGGTTAGCTTGATGATGTCTCTTCGGAGGTCTGCGGCCGAGCCGTCCCAAATGTTGGTTTTCTTGGGGTAGTAGACCGCGATGATGGTGATTGTACCAAGCGATGTGCTCACCTCAGCTCCGATGGCTTCGATAGTTTTCAGCTGGAAGCTTGGTAGTAACCGGCAGCTGATGTTCCGTCTCGCAGCGATGGCCACTCCCTCTCCTCCGGAGCTGGTGCGGTCAAGCCTTACGAGCCGAAAGTCGGGAAGGAAGGCGTTCAGCTTGGGCTTCAAGTGAGTCTCGGTGATGACGGCTTTGTCGGTGTGCCCTTCGTCGATGTTTTTGCTCTTCAAGGAGCAAGCATTCCAATTTACGATCTTAATGGCTTCACGGTCCATACTTAGTGACAAGGGACGGGGCCGCGTTTAGCTGTTCAGATCGAGTCTTGCATGTGCGCATGATGATGATGACCTCGGCCACGAGCGTCACAAGTTCCTCCGAGGTGAACGGAGAATCGTCGACAGATTCACCTGAGACAGCAACAGCGTATGATAAACCAGGAGCGATGGATGAACCTGGAATTGGCTGAGCCGCAACAGCAGCGAGACGATGCTGAACTATCCGACTGTTGGGAACCATTTGGATACTCGCAGGATTGGCTTGTTGGTTGTTGAGCGGAAGTGAGGCTAGGTTCGGAACATGTTGACGGGGCTGGAGAGCTGGGTACTGGACTTCCGTGAGTACAGGAGGCGAACGATGACGCCGCAACGCGACAGCACAGAACGAAACAAAATTGAATCGAGAACTCGAGCGAAAATACAGACTGAACAGCTCGACAGTCGAGCAAAGAATGACGAAAAAAAACTATTTGGCAAGCGTGTTTTATTATCGCTGCTGTTCTCCTCCCTTCCTTTTATTGGTGAAATGGTGAGCGATCAACCGAGCATTGAGCTCGTCCATGTGAGCATGCGCAATGTGTCGTTTGTTCAATTTGCGCTCTATCATTGCGTCCGTGTTTGGGATTTTTTTACATGTCTGTATTTTGATTTTTTTAATGTGACCCCCAGTATAGAAACTGGGACCCTCTGCCCAGGGAGGTCGAGAAAATTTCCAACCCGAAAGAAAATTATGCCTGCAATTGAAAACAATGCCTTGTTTTGAAGTCACTATAGCAAATTGCAAAAAAAAATAGACAAATTTAAGAGGTTACCTCTCAGAATTCAATTTGCTAAGGGCAATAAACCAAGTTTGTGCTGGAATTCTGTCATTTTGACTGGCGTATTCGAAATGTTTCAATAAATCATAACGGGTGGCAACTAAAATTTTGGAATTTCTTTCTCAAGCTGTCAAAAAAAGACAAACATACTTGAAGAAGATCTGATTTATTGAAATTAAAGATACATTGTCCATTGTTGAAAAAAAATTAGTGAACATTTGAAAACGGTCCGTAATCGGATGTTCGGCGAAGCTTCCGTTTGATGTTGGAACAGGAGCGTTGTATGGCCTTCATGTCAACTTTGCGAATGCATCTCTTGATTCTACCAATCAACTGTTTGCAATTCGTGGCTCTCCAGTTATTTTTGTACACCAAGGAGCTCAAAACCCCGAAGAAATCTTCGATTGGGCGACACTGAGGCAGATTTGTCAGGTTGTGGTTTTTGGGTACAAATGGGATCGAATGGGTATTCAGGAACGATTGTGTTTTTTGGCGTAATACGATGACGCTTTATCCGGCCAAAACACGTATTGTCCATCAGCATGATGTTTTTGTAGAAACGGGATCAAAATTTTCTTCAAACATTCGTTCTGGTACACATATTGATTGATTGCCAAACCAGAGAGCTTGAACCATGGCTTAGAAATGCCTTAGAAGTCCTTTTGCGTCCATAATTTTGGCTGGTCTTCCACTACCTTGCTTGCGAGCAGTTGTTGGGGATCTTAGGATATGGTAAACAGTCGAAGCCGCAACATTTTCGCTTTTAAAATGTTGTACCGTATTCTTTTTGCCGAGATTTCTGTGCAGTTCGTAGAACTGTACAACGCGCTCGCGAAATACTTCTTGTTTCGACGACATTTGAGCAAAACTGAGCAAGCATAAACAAAACAGAAAATACTAGCAGAAAGAGGAGAGAGAGAGCTAACACATACACACTCTTATTTCTCTCTGAGCTCGTTTGTGTTGAGCATAGAGGCCTCGAAAAAATTCCAAAATTTTAGTGGCCACCCGTTAGCATGACAACGGCTCATCTAATCGAAATGACGTCTGAGACAAAGTTGTTGGAAACTGGATTGCCATTTCAAATAAAAATTATATACACTGGAGAAAAAATATAATTTCTTGTCAAAATATGGACTAATGTACGATTTTGATCAATTGTTAAGTGTCCATTGAGTCCATTTCAGAAAGTTAGAATTTTTGATAAGTTTTCAAATAAATAGAAGCTTAAAAAGCTTAAAAAATGCCATTTTTAGCAGTTTTTATCATTTTTGAAAAAAATCTTTTTTTTTCTCTGAGAGACAATCCCTCTCCTTACAACTATGTCTCAGACAAAATTGCGATTAGATAAGCCATTTTCGGGCTAGGATTTATTGGAAAATAACAAATACGCCATATTGAACAATTAGGCATGAGTCAAAATGGTCAAAATCCAGCACAAACTTGGTTCATTGGAGAAAGTGAACAATTTTGCAAAGTTTCATGGAATTCGGAGTTCCTTTCCTTTATTTAACGTCGGTCTCTGTTCCGCAATCTAGTGCCAATCACCGACGGACATCGATTGCTATCCATTGACGGCAATCGAATGTGCAGGAAGGCAGCTTCCACACCTGCGTAGGATACCGCACCCTTTCATCAACACACATGGGCCGGGACCAACGGTTTTACTTCCCTTCCGAAGGAAGACGTGACCAGAGATTTTTATGCCTCAGAAAAATCCCACCGACCTCGACTGGGATTGAACCCAGACCCATTGGGGTGAGAAAGCAGTCACGCTTTTACCACTACATCACCGGCGCCGGCATGGAATTCGGAGAAGGAAAATAAAACTACTACCCTTAGTTGACGTGAAACTGCTCTACAAATTCAAAATTAATGGAGTAAGCAAGTGCTGAAAAGCTTTGTACAAAAGCTTTGCAACAAGAATAGACGACGCCGGTGTGGTTGAGTCGTAAACGTGACTGCTTTCTCACCCCAATATATCTGGGTGCAATCGGTTAAAGCGTCGCTAGGTTCCACGGCGACTCCTTCCTAGAACTCGATTACCTTCGGTGATTAATAACCAATTGGCACTCGATTGCGGAACAGAGACAAACGTTATATAAAAAAAAAGCCAACAAGAATAAGTCTATTTGACATTCACAAACTGCAAAGTAAATACTTCCTCACCAAGCCTGTCCAACAACATTTTACCCTTCCAAATTATTTACATATTAATCGATATCATCCTCTTTCCTTGCAGAAACCATCACCAGTGAAATGTATATCAGCTGATAGATAATAGGAGAAGTACTGAAACTGAGCTTTAATAACAATAATTTAGTTAAACATAAACACGAACATAATGAGTGGGATCAAAAATGAGGCATTCGATCACGACACGGTAAGATGATATCCGCATGTAAAATCAGTGCTTAACAGGCTTTCGACAACTAACATATTTCATCCAGCACCATTCTTCAATATTGTTCAATGTTTGTTTATCCAACGTCCATGAGCCCATTCATAGTACATAGTACTACAGCCCGAACTACACGTTTCATAGCATGCATCCCAAACAAATTGCTAATCTTATCGAAACTAATTTCACCCATTCACTTTATCTCTCCTAGCCTGACAGCAAGCTATCACATCGTAAAAGAAGCTCGGTCGTAAACCCCGAGGTATGCACTAGGGAATTAGTTAAGTTATTAAATTTGGTTAATTCACTGCACTGCACTTCACTGAAGAGTAAGAAAGTGGGGCAAAAATTCGACCTTAGTTGAGAAATTCAACTGTCTCAAAACTTTGAACATTTCGAACCAAACTAGTTGCATGCACAGGATCCCTTATTCAAGGTTCACAACTTTCTCTTGTAGAGTCAGATCATTCTACTTTTTTCCGAATAGTGTTCAAAATGTTCGTTTCAGCAATGGGGCAAAAGTTTGCTCATGACAGTTTTTGAGAAACTTTAACACTGGAAGTCACGTAATGCTCCAGAGTGATGTCACATCTGTTGAACCCCTCGGTTCATACAGCAACGCTTCATTTCTATCTGCCAATCTGGCAACTCTTTCTTATTTGACAGAACTACTTCCGCTGTAACGATCAACTGAATAAAAAATCATTCTTTCTTGTACCGAGCAACTTAACAAATGTGTTTGCGTATTACTTCACTGAGCCTCCGATTCCAGTCTATTCAGGTTAACCTCCAATAGGTTATGGGCCCAGCGTTGGGGCCAGTGAAAGCTAGAAAGTTGTGAAGTGCGCGACGCGGTTCGTAAAGTTTTTTTTCTGCGACGAAGTGGTGAATTTCGGGAGCCCTTTGTGGAGGCGAAAAAAAAAAAAAAAAAAAAAAAAAAATGGACTTTTCGAAAGTAGGCGTCGTCCGATTGAATAATCGGAACTACCGGTCGTGGGCATTCAAAGTCCAAATGCTCATGATGAGGGAAGGAACGTGGAAGTACGTTTATCCAGGTACTCCCCCTACTACGGTCACCTCCGATTGGACCGAAGGTGACGAGAAGGCGAGAGCAACCATCGCGTTGCTGGTGGAAGACGGCCAGCACAGTCTCATCATGGCGAAAACGACGGCGAAAAGTACGTGGGAGGCGCTGAAAACGCACCACCACAAAGCGACACTCACGGGAAAAGTCTCGTTGCTAAAGGAGATCTGCAGCGCGAATTTTCGGGAAGGCCAGAACATGGAAGAATTTATTTACGGGATGGAGGAGCTCTACTCCCGTTTGGAAAATTCAGGTGAAAAGCTCTCGGAATACATGCAGGTAGCAATGATCCTGCGGAGTCTTCCGAAGGCGTTCGACGCTCTGACCACCGCGTTGGAGAGCCGGTCGGATGCGGAGCTGAAAATGGATCTGGTCAAAGCGAAGCTCATCGACGAGAACGAGAAACTGTAGGGCGGAAACTGTTCGGAAGAGCGCTTGTTGAAGGCGGGAAACGGTACGAAGCCGGCCGGTGCTGCTGCTTGCTTCTTTTGCGGAAAACCAGGACACAAAAAGCGCAGCTGCAAGGAGTTTCTGGCGCAGAAGAGCGGCGGTGAAAGTGGCGAGAAGAAGAAGAACAAGCCGAAGCAAGAACAAAAAGTGAAACAAGTGCGCGAAAACGACTCGATGTCGTTCACGTTCATGGTGCGACAGAACCCGGACACGAATCGGTCTCGTTCGTGGCTAATCGACTCGGGCGCGACGTCGCATATGTGTAATGACAGAGATGCTTTCCTCCGGATGGAACAAGGTTCGCGAATGAGTGTTATTGTCGCGGACGGAAACGAGAATCGTGTCGCGGGCGTCGGAGATTGTTTAATCGAGTGCGTTAATGACAGCGGCGAAGCGATTAAGCTAACGCTGACGGGTGTGCTTTACGTCCCCTCTCTGGACGGGAACATGATTTCGGTCAGTAAGCTGGCGTCGAAAGGTGTGCGGGCTGAATTCGACGGGTCCGGCTGCAAACTGGTTTACGGGAAAACGGTGGTCGCAGTAGGCGACAGGAAAAGTGACATGTACTTTCTGCGATTCGCGAGTGACCGTTCGTTGCAGGTGAAGACGCGAGAGCATTCGAAGAACTGCCAACACACTTGGCACCGTCGCCTGGGACACAGAGATCCGGAAGTGCTAAACGAGATAAAGCGGAAAGATTTGGCCACAGGCATGAAAGTGGTGGATTGTGGCATTCGCTGGACCTGCGAGTGTTGCATTCAGGGCAAAATGGCTCGTCCTTCATTTCCGGCAACGGCTGAGAAGACTTCTACGGCTGTTCTGGACATTGTACACACTGACGTTTGCGGGCCCATGGAGGAGACGACTCCAGGGGGCTGTCGGTATTACATGTCCATGATTGACGACCACAGTCGGTACGCGTTCATCTATTTTCTCAAAGAAAAGTCTGAAGTCGAGCAGCGCATCCGGGAGTACGTCAGAATGGCGGAGAACCAGTTCGGCCGCAAGCCGCGGATTATCCGCTCTGACCAAGGTGGAGAGTACTCCAGTAAAACACTTCGTCGGTTCTATGCCGAAGAAGGTATCAAGGCGGAGTATACGGCAGCATATTCTCCGCAGCAGAATGGAGTTTCAGAGCGGAAAAATCGATCCCTGAGCGAGATGGGGCGATGCATGTTACTGGATGCAGGCATGCCAAAACGATTTTGGGCGGAAGCGATCAACACTGCATGTTACCTGCAAAATCGTTTACCGTCAGCAGCAGTTGAATGTACCCCATTCGAGATCTGGTTCGGGAGGAAACCCGATTTGAATCACCTTCGGCTGTTCGGGTGCACTGCTTACGTCATGGTTCCAGCAGTAAAGCGCAAGAAACTGGACGAAAAGGCCATCAAAATGACGTTTGTTGGCTATTCAGGAGAACATAAAGCCTACAGGATGCTCAACCTTGCAACCGGCCAAATCCAGATAAGCCGTGACGTTCGGTTCTTGGAGATCGAAAATCGATCGAAGGTTGAAGACAAACATCGGAAGAAAACGGAAGACAAGACGCCGCCCGCTGAATGTGAAGAAGTGGAGTGGACAGTGAGCGAAATTCCGAAAGCGACAGTGGCACCGGATGCATTGGAGTCTAGCGATTCGGAGTCTGGCGATTCGGAGTTAAGCGATTCGGACGATGAGTTCTTCGGCTGGGAGAACGACGATGCTGCTTGGCTGCAAGTTTTTCGGTTCAGGCGTTACGAGAGTCGCGATGCTTGTGATGATGATGACCAAATGGATCCTGTAGCAGAAGAAGAAGTGGCACCACCTCCGGTTCGACGTTCGCAGAGAGTGACCGCTGGTGTGCCGCCGGTCAGATATGCAGAAGGAGCAAACTTGGTGCAGCACAGTGCAGCAGAGCCAAAAACGTACCGTGAAGCTGTTTCTAGTCCCCAGAGCGCCGAGTGGAAATCGGCCATGGACGACGAAATGCGATCGCACCAGGAGAATTGCACATGGGAACTAGTGGAGTTGCCCCCACACCGTAAACCGATCGGATGCAAATGGGTGTATAAGTGCAAAAGTGATCAAAACGGCAACCTTGTGCGGTATAAGGCGCGACTTGTAGCGCAAGGGTTTTGCCAAAAATTCGGGACCGACTACGACCAAGTCTTCGCACCAGTTGTCCAGCAGATCACGTTCCGGACGATGCTGACCATCGCGAGTCGGAGGAAGATGTTGGCCAAGCAGATCGACATCAAAACCGCATACCTCTACGGGCAGCTTCAGGAGGAGCTGTATATGCGGCAACCGCCGGGCTATGAAAGCGAGGATCGAAAGCTGGTTTGCCGGTTGAAGCGCAGCTTGTATGGGCTCAAACAGGCCGCCCATGTCTGGAATAAACGGATCGACGAGGTACTTAAGCTGATGGGCTTTCATCAATCGAAGGCTGACCCTTGCCTTTACGTTCGGGAGCGATCAGGCAAGTACATATTTTTGTTGATTTACGTCGATGACGTCATTGTTATTTGCGCTACGGAGGATGAGTTCGAAGGGGTGGTTCAGAGCCTGGCCAGTGAATTCAAGATTACCGTTATGGGCAACTTGACCTTCTTTCTCGGTATCCAAATTCGACTGGAGAACGGACAGTATCGCATTAACCAAAAGGCCTACCTGAATCGTGTTCTAGAACGGTTCAGAATGCAGGATGCGAAAATTTCGAAAATTCCTATGGATCCCGGCTTCCTCAAACAAACGGAGGAGAATACCAACCGACTCAAAACTGCAGAGCATTATCAAAGTCTCGTAGGAGCTTTGTTATACGCAGCCGTAATCTCAAGGCCGGATATATCGATCGCAACCTCGATTCTCGGTCGGCGTGTTACGGCACCAACGGAAGCAGACTGGAACGAAGCTAAACGGGTGCTACGTTACCTTAAGGGCACGATCGATATGGAGCTATGTCTGGGACACGATGACCGGACGCTGGAATGCTTCGTAGACGCCGATTGGGCCGGTGACGTCAGCGACCGGAAGTCCAGTTCGGGTTATTTTTTCAAGTTCGGCGGTGGCATTATTGGATGGGGATGCCATAAACAGAAGTGTGTGGCCCTTTCGAGCACCGAGGCCGAATATATCGCGTTAGCAGAGTGCCTACAGCAGGTGCAATGGATCAGGAAGCTGATGTTGGACATTGGTGAGAAGCTGGATTTTCCGATTGTAGTTCAAGAAGATAATCAGAGCTGCATTGCTTTGACTCTGGGTGACCGTACGGAGAAGAAAGCTAAACACATCGATACGAAGTACAATTACATCAAGGATATGGTTCGTGAAGGTATTGTGCGTCTTCAGTATTGTCCGACAGAGCATATGCAGGCTGACCTGCTGACGAAGCCGCTGCAAGCAACCAAACTACGACAGCTGAGAGAGGCGATTGGCATCCGGCCATTCAACGTTGAGAAGGAGTGTTGAACCCCTCGGTTCATACAGCAACGCTTCATTTCTATCTGCCAATCTGGCAACTCTTTCTTATTTGACAGAACTACTTCCGCTGTAACGATCAACTGAATAAAAAATCATTCTTTCTTGTACCGAGCAACTTAACAAATGTGTTTGCGTATTACTTCACTGAGCCTCCGATTCCAGTCTATTCAGGTTAACCTCCAATAACATCATCACAACGAAATCTTCGTGAATATAGCGATTTATCACAATAACTGTAACCGAACTGCAATGTTAGCGGTGTTTTTGACACATTCTATGCTTCTTTCGAGATAAATATCATCGAATTTGGTGAAAGCCTTCACTGAATTTTGTGATGCATAATCTTCAAAAAACTCAAAACGAACTTTTACCTCACCTTACTCTACTGGTCTCGTGCAGCCATAAGTCCCTACCCTATGGACAAACATTCCATAAATATATGGCACATCATTAGTGTGACCAAGTGCGCTCTATCAATTTGACACTTTTACTGCCCAATTCTACTGCTAGTAAATATATTATCTCCACAATAGGGAGGCACGCGCACTCCATCATAATTACATGAATATCATCTAATTGCACCCCTTCCCGCTCGCCCCTTTCAGAATGGTGACAGTTTCACCCTGCATCAGTTACCGCACCACACCGTCATTAACACCTCAACACCGGTGCAGCACAATGGCAAATCCGGACGGACCGTTTTCGATCAGCTTGCCGATTGGCGGAAACAGCACCAGGCGCACATCCGGATAGCGTGGACCGTGGCAGCGCATGTGGTGGTTATTGTGTTTTTTGGATTTGCCACCAATCACTACTTGGAGAAAGGTACGTACGTACGTTCCGTGGTTTTATGAGGGGGCTCGCTCGCATATCTACTTAGCAAAGTGACGACAGGTGGGGTAGTAGTAAATCAATTAGCGAACGGTGTTTTTTTTTTTGTTTCAATGTTGTTTCAGCGACAAGTGCTTTCTTATCGTAACAACCGAACTGGATTCCGGTACATGCAGCTATCAGGTTTAAGTGAAACATCTTAGATATGCGAATTAGGAGGATAATTTATCATTTTAATAAACTGCAGGAACAGATTACTTCGGTACATAGCGGGAACTTGCTGTTTAGCGTTTTATGGATGAATATTTGCTAGGGTAGAGCGCTACTTCGTCGTAATCGCCCATTTCCGTTCTATCGATCAGGAAAGAGCAATAATATCAATTATTTTACCGTGCACAAATCAATAATAGGTTAGTTCATTAGCTACAACATAAATCCTATTAGAGCGCATTGTATGAATATTTACGCTCATTGTTCTCAAAACAAAAAAAGCACTCCTAGCGAATCTCTTTTTTCTACGTTTATCCGTACGACGAAGAAAATCTAATGGCGTTTCAAAACGTTTGGACGGAATTGAAACTCGTAAGACGAATTTAGAATCAAGAAGCTGTATAAGATTTTAAACAATATCTCAATAATTCGTGACTCTTTATCATATCCAACGGTACGTATGGAAAGTTGAATAAATTTAGAAGTCATCTTTGACAGAAATATTCCATTTTTTTAGGTTCAAACCCGTTCAAAAATAAAGGTAAAATACTGGTCGTGCTTAGTAGGACGGAAATTAGATCAAAACCCCTATTCGTGCACATTGTTAAGCATTTGCTTATTCGAGTGAGGTTTTGCTTGAGTCTTTAAGGGCCACCCACATTAGATCTGTTTGCGTTGCGTTGACGTAAATTCTGCATTCCGGATCTAATGTTGGAAGATGGACGAAAAGTAAGCCGCAAATTTACGACCTTAATTGGTACTACAATAACAGATAAGTAACAAACAGGGGAAGTTTTGCCACTGAACCTAATATTCAGTTTCATATCATCTGTCCCTATCTTACGTTCGATAGAGGACATCTAGCCTTCTTCTATGTGTTTACCAGTCACTAGCGCGTCACTTCTCAGTTCTTAGGTGAATGGTGTATTGAGATCATTAATTCTCGATGGTACGTGCTTAAATCGCAAACGTCACTTATCGGACGTGTTGAAAGGATTGCTCGGTTAGAGAAGGCAACGTAGGTACAGGAGAAGCACGTGGTGCAGAAAATGCATGCTCAGATTTGATCGTGCCAAACGTGAATAAAATGGACGTGAAACAAACGTCTCTATAGTTTAATAGTCATACACTTTGTAAAATTTTCAAACACCTCAAATTATTTCTGTGGCAATCCCTTCCCGGGTATATGTACCAGTAATGGCTATACGTTCCTATTATGGTGTGTTCCAATTATTGGAACACACAATAATAGAAACGTGTAGCCATGACTGGTATATTTATCATATTGTTATCTAAAGCTAATGTATCTGCATCTTCTTAATGTATGATGGCACGTCATGCGTGGAAAATTGTTAACTTCGTCATAGAAAAATGGTTGTTCCATGGTGTTAACAAGCTAAAATTTTATCACAGTTAACCCACAAAAATGCGGATAACGGAGCAAATATGAATGGAAACCGCGTAAACGGTGTCCGTACTACGTGGGATTTGACTTAATTGGTTACAACATGGAAAATCTCGAGATCCTGACCAGATAGAAAATTACTGTCTCGGGCAAAGTTGTTCTAGAGATCATAATCTTTTTCGCTGATTTAGAGTAGTTCAGAATTTTCTCACTACGTAGCGCTAGAATACACGTGAAATTATCGCATGTGATATATCTCGAGATCATGACCAGATAGAAAATTACTGTCGTCGACAAAGTTGTTCAGAAGGTCACGGCCTTTTCGTTGGTGGACAGTAGTTCAGCGTTTTCTCACTTCGCGGCACTAGTATACATGTAAAAGTCTCGCATATATAAAATATTTCTAGGTCCTTACCATATAAAAAGTTACTGTCTTCGGCAAAGTTTTTCAGGAAGTCCAGATCTTTTCGTTGATAGAGTAGTTCAGAAAATTCTCACTACGTGGCGCTAGTATATACATGCAATTTTCACATATACAAAAACTCGAGATCCTGAGCAGATAGAAGTTACTGTCTTTGGCAAACTTGTTCAGGGTGTCAAGTAGTTTTGGCTGGTGGACAGTAGTTCAGAATTTTCTCACTACACGGCGCTAGTATAAACTGTCTTTGGCAAACTTGTTCAGGGTGTCAAGTAGTTTTGGCTGGTGGACAGTAGTTCAGAATTTTCTCACTACACGGCGCTAGTATAAACGTGAAATTCTCATATAAAATATCACGAGATCCTGACCAGATAGAAAGTTACTGTCTTCGACAAAGTTGTTCAGGAGGTCAAAGCATTTTTGGCTGGTAAACAGTAGTTAAGAATTTTCTCACCACGTGGCATAGATGTACACTTCTCGCATATGCTATATCTCGAGATCCTAATCAGATAGAAAGTTACTGTCTACAACAAAGTTATTCAGGAAGTCAAAGTCTTTTGGCTGGTGAACAATAGTTTAAATTTTTCTCATAAACTCTAGGCTTTAAACTCTTGAACAACTTTGTTCAAGACAGTATCTTTCTATCTGGTCAAGAACGTGAGATATTTTATATGCGAGAATTTCACATGTATACTAGCATCATGAAGTGAGAAAATTCTGAACTGCTGTCCACCAGCCAAAAAACCTTGACCTCCTGAACAACTTTCTATCTGATCAGGATCTCGAGACATAGCATATGCGAGAAGTGTACTAACTACTGTTTACCAGCCAAAAAGTCTTGACCCCCTAAACAACTTTGCCGAAGACAGCAACTTTCTAGCTGATCAAGATCTCGAGCTATTGAATATGGGAGAAAGGTACGTATATACTAGCACCGCATAGTGAGAAAATTCTAAACTATTGTCACCCAACAAAAAGATCTTGACTTCCTGAAAAACTTTGCCGAATACATCTAGAGATATTTTATATGCAAGAGTTTCACATCTATAGTAGCGCCGCAAAGTGAGAAAACTCTGAACTACTGTCCACCTGTGAAAAAGCCTTGACAACCTGAACAACTATGTCCAAGGCAGTACCTTTCTATCTGGTTGGGAACTCGAGATATTTTATTTGAGAATTTCACGTCTATACTAGCATCGCGTAGTGAACAAATTCTGAACTATTGAGCACCAAGCAATAGGCTTTGATCTCCTGAAAAACTTTGTGAAAAACAGTAACTTTTTATCTGGTCAGGATCTCAAGATATATCACATGCGAGAATTTCACATGTATACTAGCGCTACGTAGTGAGAAAATTCTGAACTACTGTCCGCCAGTGACAAGGCTATGATCTCCTGAACAACGTCAGAGACAGTAACTTTCTATCTTGTCAGAATCTTGATATATTCCATGTTGTAATCAATTAAGTCAAATCCCACGTAGAATGGTCACAGTTTTCGCGGTTTCCATTTACATTTTCCCTATTATCCGCATTTTTTAGGTGTTTACTGTAATCAAAGTTTAGCTTGTTTAGATCAAAACAAGTTTTTTGAGGAATACTCGTTGGTTTCAGATCGATTGGTAACTCAGCAACGAAATGGCAATGGAAAACTCATGTGTGTTGTACAAAGTACAACAGCGCGAGTAACGGAGGGTTTATGTCATTGTGTGTATTTGATAGCATTTTTTTTTCTCAGCTTTCTGATGGTGACCTCAGAATCAAAATTAGTGGTTGCGAACATAGTGAACATAACGTTTTTCTGATAAAATTCAATATGGTGGCCTAACCCAAGATGGCCGCCAAAAATATGTCTATTCCGAAAAAAAGCCCTATTCTTCCTCTTCATAATAACGTGTTGTTTACAGGAGGGTTCAAAAGGAAATTTCAAAGATTTAACATATCAGGCATAACATTTGATAACGGCACAAAAGCTTTTGTAAACAAACTTTTTAAGGCCCTTTACACGCGAATCGAAGTACGCTCACGCAAACCAACAACATCATCGGATAGGGGCAACTCTCACCTTTTCGAAAGTGGTATTGGTTTGCGTGGGCGCACTTTGGTTCGCGTGTAAAGGGCCTCAAAAAGTTTGTTTACAAATGCTTTTGTGCCGTTATCAAATGTTAAGCCTGATATGTCATGAATTGCTAGAAATTCAACTTTTTTGAAAACTGTAAGGCCCCTTGGCGAGCGAGGGGTCCATTAATTTGAACTAAGAATAGTGGCAATCTCATTCTTTCATCAGTTTCGACCAACCAAGCGGATATATTTAAATATTTAAAGACCATGTGTCAAACTTTTATCAGTGTTGGTTGGAAATGCTATCTAACATGAAGCTTTAGTGTGAGAATTTATTAGCTAGAGAATGATCTTAGAAGATGGTAGGTACAGTCAGGAATCCTTATTACCGAGGTAACGGGGGCGTGAATAAGGAACCGTAAAGAAGGATACCCACAGCTTATGGGATTTTCACTTATGGGGGCTGTGGTGGATTATCTAATTTATTTCAATATATAGAGCTATACTGTCTTGGACAAAGTTGTTGTACTGGGTTAGACCAACAAGCCTGTGTCATTGGATTCAGGTTTAATTGAGAACTACGCCGCCAGAGGCGCTTCACTTGTATGTTACTTATGACGGGCGAAATAATATATGGATCTTAGGTCCAACATAGAATATTTCGTGATCCTGGTCATATAGAAAGTTACTGTCTTCAGCAAAGTTGTTCAAGTGACCAAGTCCTTTTGGATGGTCGCCATATTAGTTCAGAACTCTCTCACTATACAGCGCTAGTGTGCACACGAGCTTCGTATAAAAGCTGTATCCCAAAATCCTGGCCATATAGAAGGTTACTGTCTTCGGCAAAGTTGTTCAGGTGATCATGTCCTTTTGTATGGTGTTCTTATTAGTTCAGAACTCTCTCACTACGTAGCGCTAGTGTGCATTTGAACTTCCAATATAAACTGTATCTCGAGAAACTGGCCATATAGAAAGTTGCTGCCTTGAGCAAAGTTATTCAGGTAACCAAGTCCTTTCGGATGGTAGTCATAAAGGGTTATACGGTCAAAATTTGGTCAATATCAACTTGACGTATTTCTTTCAATTTTGCATTTAAAAAACCTGAACACCCCTCATTTTGAAGGTGTGTGTGTGTAGAATGTTGCTCCTATTTTGATTTTGGAATTCACTCTTCAGTTGTCAAAATGCCGTCCAAGCAAGAAGAGCAGCGTATCAAAATTTTGCTCGCGCATCGCGAAAATCCGAGCTACTCGCACGCAAAGTTGGCAAAATCGCTAAAAGTTGCCAAATCAACCGTTACAAATGTAATTAAAGTGTTTGGGGAACGTTTGTCGACAGCCAGGAAGTCTGGATCGGGGGGAAATCGAAAACCGGAAGCCGCTGAGACGACAAAGAGAGTTGCCGGTAGTTTCAAGCGAAACCCTAACCTCTCTCTCCGAGATGCCGCAAATAAGCTGGGTGTATCGTCTACAACCGTGCATCGAGCCAAAAAACGAGCCGGACTATCGACTTACAAGAAGGTAGTGACTCCAAATCGCGATGATAAACAAAATACGACGGCCAAAGCGCGATCCCGGAGGCTGTACACGACGATGCTGACGAAGTTTGACTGCGTGGTAATGGACGACGAAACCTACGTCAAAGCCGACTACAAGCAGCTTCCGGGACAGGAGTTTTATACGGCAAAAGGAAGGGGAAAGGTAGCAGATGTTTTCAAGCACATGAAACTGTCAAAGTTCGCAAAGAAATATCTGGTTTGGCAAGCCATCTGTACCTGTGGCTTGAAAAGCAGCATTTTCATAGCTTCCGGGACTGTCAACCAAGAAATTTACGTGAAAGAGTGTTTGAATAAACGTCTGCTGCCTTTCCTGAAGAAACACGGTTGTTCCGTACTGTTTTGGCCGGATTTGGCATCTTGCCATTACGGCAAAAAGGCCATGGAGTGGTACACCGCCAACAACGTGCAGGTGGTTCCCAAGGACAAGAACCCTCCCAACACGCCAGAGCTCCGCCCAATTGAGAAATACTGGGCTATTGTCAAGCGGAACCTAAAGAAGACCAAAAAAAACTGCTAAGGGCGAGCAGCAGTTCAAGGCAAACTGGCTTTCTGCGGCGAAGAAGGTGGACAAGGTGGCTGTACAAAATCTGATGGCAGGGGTCAAGCGTAAGGCCCGGCAATTCGGATTTGGAAAAGCGGAAGCCTAACTGAATATTTTTCCTGAATTTTATACTAATTGAACTTGAAAAAGAAATTTAATTTGATTTTTTAAATAAACGATTTCACCGATTTACACGCGTTTTCCCTTGACCAAATTTTGACCGTATCACCCTTTAACATATTAAAAAAGTTCGTGTGCACACTAGCGCTGCGTATTGAGAGAGTTCTCAAATAATATGACTACCATCTGAAAGGACTTGGTTAGCTGAACAACTTTGCTCAAGACAGCAAATTTCCATATGGCCAGTTTCTCGAGATACAGTTTATATAGGACGCTCACAAGCACAGTAGCGCTGCGTAGTGAGATAGTTCTGAACTAATATGAACACCATACAAAAGGACATGATCACCTGAATAACTTTGCTGAAGACAGTAACCTTCTATATGGCCAGGATTTTGAGATACAGCTTATATACAAAGCTCATGTGCACACTAGCGCTGCGTAGTGAGAGAGTTCTGAACTAATATGGCGACCATCCGAAAGGGCTTGGTCACTAGAACAACTTTGCTGAAGACAGTTTACTTTCTATATGGCGAGGATCACGATATATTCTATGTTGGATCTAAGATCCATATATTATTGCGCCCGTCATAAGTAACCTAAAAGTGAAGCGCTTCTTGCGGCGTAGTTCTCAATTAAACCTGAATCCAATGACACAGGCTTGTTGGTCTATCCCAGTACAACAACTTTGTCCAATATAGTATAGCTCTATATTTTTAAAAAAAATTAGATAATCCACCACAACCCCTATTAGTGAAAATCCCATAAGCTGTGGGGATCCTTATTCGCGGATATCCCGGCAATAAGGGATACCGGCAATAATTCCGTCAGAGTACGGCAGTATGAGCACTGTCGCATGAATGGCCCTTCGCTCATTTTCAACTTCTATTCAATTTTCATACTGCCGTACTCTAACGGAACTGTCTACCTACCCTCTTCTAAGATCATTCTCTAGCTAATAAATTATCACACTTAAGCTTTGAAACACTTTGAAAGTAATACTTTTATAGTAAGATACGAATGTATTTACTCACCTATGCATATTCCCTTTCAGATGAGACTTGCACCACCAAATGTGGCATGCAGTGGTGCAACGGGTATGGAATGCTGGTTCTTCTATTGGGCTTCGTCTACTTTGGCCTAGTGTACTACCAGATTTTGAAACCGCTTCTCCGGAAGCCTTTCAAACAGTTCATTGTTGAACCCGTTGAAAGCTTCCTACGGGACGTCTTCGGAAGTCTGTAAGTATGCTTCAATCACGGATGTTACTTCAAAAAACATGTCACCTACTACTTTTCATAAATCCAACAGATACGCCAAGCTGGCCGCAATCGGAGTGATACTGATCGCCTTCGCTTTGTTCTGCTACTTCGAAACGAAGGACGAACCGGAACGACTAATGTCTCTCATTGGCATGGTCGCGCTATTCTGTTTGGCATTCGTCTTCTCCAAGCATCCAACGAAGATCAACTACCGCCCGGTGTTGCTCGGTGTGATGTTTCAGTTTCTCCTGGGACTGTTCTGCATTCGGTGGGAAGTTGGCCGAAGCATATTCAGCTGCATCGGTGATAAGGTTGCCACGTTCCTGAACTACTCGGCTGACGGTGCCGCCTTCGTCTATGGTGAATTCATCGTTCGCAACGAGGCTGTGTTTGCCTTCGCGGTCCTATCTGTGATATACTTCTTTAGCTTCTGCATCTCGATCCTGTACTACATGGGAACGATGCAGTGGGTTGTCCTGAAGCTAGGATGGATTCTGCAGTCGATTTTGGGAACGACTGTTTGCGAGAGTGTCATCGCTGCTGCGAACATCTTCCTCGGTATGAGCGAATCGCCGCTGTTGATCCGGCCGTATATCAAGGATTTGACCCATTCGGAAGTGCACTCGGTCATGTCGTCCGGGTTTGCGACCGTTTCGGGCACGGTGCTGGCAGCTTACATCTCGTTCGGAGCTCAGCCGGCTCATCTGATCACGGCCAGTGTAATGGCTGCACCTGCTGCGCTCTGCTTCGCCAAGTTGATCTATCCGGAAACGGAGGAAAGCAAAACCCGATCGGATAATATTCAGATGGAGAAGTCGTAAGTATTGGTGACTGTCAGCGATTCTAAAGCAATTTTAATTTCTCAAACTCCCTTCTAGACCGGACTCCTCAGTCCTGGATGCCGCCTCGAACGGAGCCAACACTGCCACGGCCCTAGTTCTGGGAATTATTGCCAATTTGATCGCGTTTGTTTCGTTTATCGCCTTCCTCAACGGCGTTCTCGGATGGCTGGGTGAGCTCGTTGGCTTCGAGGACATTTCGCTGGAGAACATCTTCGGTACCATCTTCCGACCGCTGGCGTTCGCAATGGGCGTCCCATGGGACGAAAGCTACTACGTTGGTAAGCTGATTGGTACCAAGACTATCGTTAATGAATTCGTAGCCTACCAACGGCTGGGTGAGTTCATCGAGGCGAAAGCCCTCTCGGCACGATCGTCAGCCATTGCAACGTATGCCATCTGCGGATTCGCCAATCCCAGCTCGTTGGGCATCATGATTGGAACGCTCAGCGCTATGGTACCCGAAAAGCGGTCGGTCATCACAGCCGTCGCCTTCCGGGCCTTTATCACCGGATCGATCGTTTGCTTCATGACTGCCAGTATAGGAGGTAGGTGAACTCCGATGAATGAGATTGCACCACTTTAACCAACAACCTCTTATCGTTTCAGGGCTACTCATGGATGCTAAAATTTTCAACAACTTCGGATAAGTGCACTCCATGGGTTCAACGACGAAAAATAATCTATTTTATACTTAGAAACAGTCTGTACTCAAGAGGCCCGATGAAGTGTGATATATGTACTTAACGGTTGCTACTTAATGGAAGTAAAACTCTGGAGCAAGTCACTCTGGTCATAGGCATTTCGATTTATTTAGCTCCGTTTAGAGTATAGTTATTCAACAAGCGGCCTGCAGTTCCAAACTACACTTTTAATCAATGTCAGTAATTACCTACATGTATAAGATGGCTTAAGCGATAGTGATTATGTTGTAGTTACAGTATTGTACATTTAGGCGATTTTTTAAATGCGATAAGTATAATGAAAAAGGATGCTTTAATTGTGAGGTTCTTTGTTTTTATAGACCACTAAGATGTCGGCACAGTGTGCCGGTTATGGATGTTAATATGATGGATGAACGTATGAAATGCTGTAAATTGAATAAAGAACTCAACAACCTAATCAAGGGTATAAGGGTCCATTCAAATATTACGTAACGCAAAAAGGAGTGGGGGATAAAGGGTGATACGGTCAAAATTTGGTCAATATCAACTTGACGTATTTCTTTCAATTTTGCATTTAAAAAACCTGAACACCCCTCATTTTGAAGGTGTGTGTGTGTAGAATGTTGCTCCTATTTTGATTTTGGAATTCACTCTTCAGTTGTCAAAATGCCGTCCAAGCAAGAAGAGCAGCGTATCAAAATTTTGCTCGCGCATCGCGAAAATCCGAGCTACTCGCACGCAAAGTTGGCAAAATCGCTAAAAGTTGCCAAATCAACCGTTACAAATGTAATTAAAGTGTTTGGGGAACGTTTGTCGACAGCCAGGAAGTCTGGATCGGGGGGAAATCGAAAACCGGAAGCCGCTGAGACGACAAAGAGAGTTGCCGGTAGTTTCAAGCGAAACCCTAACCTCTCTCTCCGAGATGCCGCAAATAAGCTGGGTGTATCGTCTACAACCGTGCATCGAGCCAAAAAACGAGCCGGACTATCGACTTACAAGAAGGTAGTGACTCCAAATCGCGATGATAAACAAAATACGACGGCCAAAGCGCGATCCCGGAGGCTGTACACGACGATGCTGACGAAGTTTGACTGCGTGGTAATGGACGACGAAACCTACGTCAAAGCCGACTACAAGCAGCTTCCGGGACAGGAGTTTTATACGGCAAAAGGAAGGGGAAAGGTAGCAGATGTTTTCAAGCACATGAAACTGTCAAAGTTCGCAAAGAAATATCTGGTTTGGCAAGCCATCTGTACCTGTGGCTTGAAAAGCAGCATTTTCATAGCTTCCGGGACTGTCAACCAAGAAATTTACGTGAAAGAGTGTTTGAATAAACGTCTGCTGCCTTTCCTGAAGAAACACGGTTGTTCCGTACTGTTTTGGCCGGATTTGGCATCTTGCCATTACGGCAAAAAGGCCATGGAGTGGTACACCGCCAACAACGTGCAGGTGGTTCCCAAGGACAAGAACCCTCCCAACACGCCAGAGCTCCGCCCAATTGAGAAATACTGGGCTATTATCAAGCGGAACCTAAAGAAGACCAAAAAAACTGCTAAGGGCGAGCAGCAGTTCAAGGCAAACTGGATTTCTGCGGCGAAGAAGGTGGACAAGGTGGCTGTACAAAATCTGATGGCAGGGGTCAAGCGTAAGGCCCGGCAATTCGGATTTAGAAAAGCGGAAGCCTAACTGAATATTTTTCCTGAATTTTATACTAATTGAACTTGAAAAAGAAATTTAATTTGATTTTTTAAATAAACGATTTCACCGATTTACACGCGTTTTCCCTTGACCAAATTTTGACCGTATCACCCTTTAGTCAGGCAATGCGTTAACAGCTATGTGTTAGGTATAGGAAAAGTGCTTGACGACGGGGTGAGGGGTATGCAAAAATCCACTTTTATGCGTTACATAATATTTGAACGAGCCCTAACCCCTAACGATGCGTCTTGCTTTAGTCTTCAGGTTTGTCCAATCCTAAATTGGAGCATTATTGAGCTCTATTTTCCGATTTCCAATAAATGTGCACCCTGTAAAGTTTTTGTGCAATGTCCCACTCGATAATTACTACACATCTATATCTCAATGTTAGAAAATCTCACGTAACGAAAATATGTTTTATCTATTGTATCTAAATCCATCTACCTACATCTCAGGAAACCTTCAAAATCTTCATAAAGCTTCTTTCTACCAACTAAGCGTGCGCACATCTCACAATAGGAAAGCAAATCTTATCCTGTATCTTAAATAGTGTTGCCCCTCTCGTTTTTTTCAAAAATGGAAGTATTATTGACCTATGCATCGAAGAATTCTTCGAGTCGTTTGGCTCTTTGTCATGAGTGAGGTGACAAAAGTCAAATCATATGACATGACTCTCCTTGCAAATTAAATGGAGGGTCACGTCACAATACGTGACATCTGTCACCTCACTAATGACAGAAAATCACACGACTCGTAGGGGTATTGATGCTGAATTGAACTTTCTGCCGTACACGCACACTTGCATAATCCCATTTTCAAGTGCGAAGCTTGTTATCCTCACTTTCGTTCCAGCCAAAAATGTTGGTTTGTTATTGTTATCCTCTCTTTCGGACCATCAATACTCGCGCACATAAAATGGACTATTAGATTTTTTCGTTCTTCGATAGCAATTGTGATGTGGAGCTACGAGAAGATTGTACACACGCACTGCAAGAGCACTGCTAAAACATAACATGATCATGGGAACTATTTTGAATTTATTTGTAGAAAATAACGATTGGCTTTTCACTCCAAATTCAATACTTTTCATTTATTTCCTTCTGTCAACATCAAACAAGTAGGTTAGATTTTGAATTTGTAAATTAACTGTTGCAATGCTGTTATAGCAATGGTAGCTGCGAATTTCTAGGTTTCTATCAGCACAGAAATCTTCTTGGTGAGGGCCGAGGACTTGAGTCCGGAAAACTTTCCGGACCCCGTATTTAGCGAATTCTGTGACTCTCTGACACTAGCTATGTGACAAAAGTCACGTCGTGTGAGGTGACTCTCCATTTGGTTTGCACGGAGTCGCAGAATAAGGGGGAATAAGTTCAGAGAGCATCCATAAAAAGATTGAAAAGAAGATTGGTAATGATTCAGAGCAGACATGTGAAGATTTTTGCTATTGTCTTGCCCAGGAAAAACTTCCTGAATATGATAAAAGTAAAGATTGGATCCGACCCATGTGTGTTAAAGTTTGGACGACTGTCACCACAAAACTGAAAAAAAGCTGTTCCAACCGAGCAAAACGGTGCATTTTAACGGTTCGATTGGAACAACTTTTGACAGACTTCCATACTTTTAATAAAGGGCTTTAGTTTGAAAGGGTGCGATAATGTCGAAGCTTCCTTCCTTGCACATTCTATTGCCGTCAATGTATGACAATCGATGTCCCTCGGTGATTAGCACTAGATTGCGTAACAGAGACCGACGTTAAATCTAGACGAACAATTGAAATATGCGGAACAACCAAACGTAAACAATGACTTTAAACATAAATTTCTTGAGAATCAAAACACACCCACGCAAACAGTGCCATTCGATAAAGTAAGTTTGCTCTATCAGATGCTGGTGTTAGATTGCGTGGATGTGGTTTGATTCTCGAGAAATTTGCGTTTAAACCCATTGTTTACGTTTGGTTGTCCGCATATTTCAATTGTTGGTCTAGAAATAAAGGAATGGAGAAGAAGAAGAAGATGAATCTCGCGAAATAGTTCAAAAAAATGGTGTGTACAATATTATTCATCAAATCTCGCGCCACTTTTCAATAGGTCCTATCTACACTGATCGATTCTCTTTGTTTTTCTTCTTTTTCGTTAATAACTTGACTGCATTCATATTTCGGGCTAATTTTTGTGCATAGTCTGTTAAAAGAGCCCTTTGTAAAGGATCGTGATCGGATTTACCGGGAAATACCGATTGGAGCTTACGGCCATTAAGGACAGGTAAGTAATTGGTCCATCAAGGTAAGATAAATTAATAAACATATAAAGTATCCGTTCGATTTTGGCAACACGTTCTCAGTATATTTAAACTGCTCATATAACTGTGCTCTGCAGTTATATTATTAAATTCTGTTTAATAATTTTCTTAGATTTTCAGTAAAATTGTGGAGCTTTAAACGTCACCTGCAGGCCTGTTCTGCGAGTAGTATGGCTCTCTGTCGCTAGTAGGGTGACGGTGGTCGCCGCGTGTGAGGTGACTCTTCATTTGATTGCACGGAGAGTCACCCCACTAGTGCGTGACTTTTGTTGACTCATTGGTGGTGGAGATTCGCACGACTCGCGGAATAGGTCAGATGATAAGATTTGCATTTATTAAAGATTTTGAAAAGCTAAGAAGGCAAAATTGTGTTGACAAAATCTAACGGGTAATGCCGATATTAAAAATATATATATATACACACATTAAATGCAAAGGGGAGGGATGGGACCACCAGGGCACCGGATTGAAGCGATTTGGATGGGGAGAGTGGAATTGCCAACTCCCTGTCATTAACATTTCGTGAATTGACGGCGGGCTCTTCTCCCCACTCATTGGGACGTTCCCTCGTATGATGGCTTGTTCTACATCGGGTTGTAGGATTTTATCATTGGAAGGCGATTCTCCTGATCCCGCGGATTGCGCGTAAGTGTATCTGCTTACGGGTCCGCCCCTCCGTTTTTGGCCCTTCTTACAATGGTAAATTGAATACAACCAGGTATCGTACTTGATCAAGTCATACTTGGAGGATGATCCACTGTCTAATGGCTGTGCCTTGCAACAATGAGTGGTATCCTTTACATACATACATACATAGTCTGTTAAAAGAGCCCTTAACAACAGCAAAGATATCTAATTAATAAGATATCCCACTAATCAATTCCTCATACAAGCAAAGATATCCAATTAATAAGATATCCCACTAATCAATTCCTCATACAAGGCATATAATTACCACCCATATGTGATCGCAGTGCCATCTGTTGAGTGCACATTGAAACTGTTGGGAGTTCCCCGCCAACTTCACCACCTGGGCTCAATAGCTGACAGGTGTCAGCATGATAGATGTCAATGCGGACGTTGATGATCAGCCGAGGAAAGAGGACGATATCATCCTCGAAGTCATCATCATTATATTGCGATAGCAAGATTCTTACTTGTTTGTGATTGTTCCGGTTTTCAATCATTACCACTTTATATGCAACAGAAACACTTGAGAAAACAATCACACATCCAAGCGCGCATCATGATGTGCTTGTAATATGTTTTGCTTTCGAGCGAAAGAGTTTCCAATATACCAGCGGTATCAGTAAGATGCAAATCTCTAATAGTTATTGATGATTTGCGGAGCTGGTGCTTAAAAGAATCTTAATAAGCATAGAAGTAAACATGGGAAAAGCATTCACTCTCTCTAAAGAATTATTCCAACACCCCAGTCACTGGAAATGCAACGTATCGAAATCATTGCTAAACGTAATAAAATATGCCGTCTTCTTTGGCCAACGCAGCACGCATTCTATTCAAAAATTACATTGGAATAATCATTACTTTCCTATTTTATAACGTAAGAAGTAAGAAGTATTTGTCAACGCCGGTGAAAGCAAACGCAAACGGAAGTAGAAGAAGCTGAATGAAGACGATGAATGATGACACCGCTTCGTGTTTTGATTTGTACTGTACCGTCCGCTCAGTTGTGTGGGTTCGTACATGTATAGATGTTGGTGTGCATGTTTTCTTCCAACGCTGCAGTTCAACGTTGTCTCGTCACAAACCGTTTGGCGCAGTTTTCTGTCTCTAAAAAATCCAAAGAGTGAAGGGGGTCTGACAACAGTTAAAGGCCACCCACATTAGATCCGTTTGCGTTGCGTTGACGTAAATTTGAAAGTTAGACAATAGATTTAGCTGTCACATTGCCGCAACGCGTCCGATCCGGATCTAATGTGCTTGGGCCTTTACTGAACATGTTTTTGGAGCCATGTTATTGACGAAAGAGAGAGTTGATTAAGATCGATCAATGTAAATTGGGCTATTTGAAAAGTTACGGGAGAAATCAGTGCCAGTTGTAAACAATGGCTTTAGCTGTCGATTTCTCGCAACTAAAAGCTCATCTCTCCAATATAACAATGATAGATGGTAGAGGAAACATTCCCCTACCTGGTGGTGTAATTAACTTTCATGAGTGAGCTTTTATTCATGAGAAATCGAAGGCTAAAGCCATTGTTTACAAATGCAATTACGCCCCTTTGAAATGTTGGCACTGAAATGTTGGATTGAAGTTTCATTTTTAATGCATATTACGAATATGTATTAACCTTAATACCCCTAAACAACCCAATGTATTCGTGTAGCTTGCCAGTACTGCTACTGCTTTCAAATAAGTTGAGTTTTCATTGTTATCAGAGTTATGTTACTTCATACGTGTAGTTGACGATTAACAGTGTTGGAAGAAACGGAATTATCAAATCTATCCTCTTCAGAACTTTCTCAAGCTAATAAATATCGCACTTAAGCCTCATGTTAAGGTATAGTAACGCATGTTCTCTCAAGTAGTTTTTTCAATGTTCTGAAAAAATTTCTGAACAGTTCTTTTTTGCACAGGAGTCTGTTGCAAAATGTGCATTACAAAATTCCCAGAACTTCTTCAAATTTCCTAAACTATGTTTTTTAAGCTCTCTTAATTCAACCAAGATCTCAGAACATCCGTGAACTTCTCCAAGCTTCCGGAAAGACCCTGAATCATCTCTATTAAAAAATTGCTGAACAGCTGCATGAAAGGAATTTCCCAAAAAGTTCTGGAGGTTTCTAAAATAAACCCAGAAGTTCCAACAGGTTTGCTAAACTTCTAATACATTCTACGAGCTTCAACGAAATTTCCTGGTCTTCTACGAAGTTCACTGAACTACTATGAAGCTTACTACACTACCCGTAATCGCATATAAGTCCCATATGGATAGGAAATCAAGGAAAGATGGGACTGATATGCGATTATGGGCAGTACACTTCTTCGAAGTTTCCTGAATTCATTGATTTTCTGTCTAGTTCCCCGAAGATCTACAAAGTTTCCCAAACTTTTACGAAACCTGAACTAGTAGTCCTTTAAGCTTTAACGAAGTTAAAAGAAGTTCCCAGAACTTTTATGAAGTTTCCTGATATCAACATCGCCGAAGTTCCAAAACTTGAACCATGTTGCCATTTCTACGAAGTTATTCCGATATTTTACAAAGCTATACGAAGTTTTTCCGAATTTCTATTAAATCTCCTAAATTTCTACAATGTCGATGACGATCTACAAAGTCCCTGAAGTTTTAAGAAGATTAATGAAATTAAAGAAAAATCTACAAAATTCGCTGAATTTCTCTAAAGTTAGCTTAACTCCTGTAAAATCTGCTGCACTTCTAGAAAGTTTCCAGCACATCTACGTAGTTCCCTGATCTCTTGCGAAGTTTCCTGAAGATGTATGAAGTTTCTTGAAATTCTACAATGTTCCCTGAACTGTTACGAGGTTTTCCGCACTCTAACAAATTTCCCATGACTTCTACGAACTTCTGTAACTTAATGAGAAGGCCGCGCTTGAAAGTTGACGTGTTTTTCTTTTGCTACGTATTTTTCGTCAGCGAATTAAACATTTTTTGCTTTAAATTTGTTAATTTGGGCCAGTGCTGAGATTTGTCATTGTCATTGACAGACTTTCGCGCGATATTGACAAAATTGTTCGTCACATAGTCACTGACAGACTTGATCCTCAAAAAAACCTTCGTCAAAATCTCATTCATTTTTCGTCAATGACAAAGATTCACCTGGTAACAAAAAGTGTAATTTAGGACATTCTGTATCACATTATTGTTATCCAAGTAGCTCAGGACGTAGATACTTGTTCACTAAAATGGATCCATGTAATTGTTTTGCTCAAGTCATTTAATTTCGTTACAAATTTAGCTAATAAACAAATCTGCACATGTTCGTCACTGACACCATTGTCATTGACAATTGACATGGTTTGCCTTGACTATGACTGTTATCTCAAATGAGTGACCAAAGCAGAATTGTCAATATCACCGTGTACTGTCGAGATTTTGCAGCACTGATTTGGGCGCTGAAATTGAGTTTCAAATGTTCATAAAGTTATCATTTTGTGATAACATATCGTGTTTTGCCTTGAGTGACTCGGTTGACCTTGAATCGAACCTCCAAAATCTACGACGCAGCTTCAGTTCCATTGTTCGGTGTCGGTTTTCATTGCCCCGGTTCTCCGAGTTTGGATGCCACACTTTCGGCGTGTAGTTCTATTGAGAGATTCGTCACCGTGAGCGAGTTTGAACCCAGTCCGGTTGGTGAATTAGCCCGGCTGATACTGTGTCCGTCGCGAGTTTTGGTGGTGATTCGGTGGCCGACGTTGCCGTGAATCAGCAAGTTTTTCACATGCAAAAGCGCTCGTTGTTCGTTGAAGGAAGCATTACGAAATGAGATTCAAACCGTAGAGAAAAACAAAACTGCGGAACCCATGAATTGTAGGATCAAATTAACATGGTGCAACCAGTCCAAATACTTTTTACAATTAAAAAAAAAACAAAAACCCAGAGCCAACATTTCAAAGGGGCCTAATTGCCTTTGTAAACAATGGCTTTAGCCGTCAGTTAGTTACTAAATACGTTCATAGGATTCAAAAGAACATTTTGAAACAGGAAGTGTGTGTGTAACACTAATACATACATGCGGATGCGGGGCTCATTGTAAAAGTACCCTCGTAATGGGCGACATTTTCCAGACATTCTGAAATGGGTTGCTGGATCTGCAATAGAGCTATCACCTAACTCTCTGACAAAAACTGTCTACAATGACCATAAATGCGACATTGTAGAGAGAGTTCTTCCATAATAACACTAAGAACTTCTGTAATGCAATCGACTTAGATTTGTTGAAAATCAAAATGTTGAACTCAGCGGCGCCGATGGTGTAGTGGTAAGCGTGATTGCCTCTCACCCCAAGGGGCCTGGGTTCAATCCCATTCGGCGTCGCAGGGATTTTCTGAGTCATAAAATCTCTAATCACATCAAAACTGTCTACGTAGTTAATGAACAGCCCCTAAGACCGTTGGTCCATGAACGGATGGGTCGATAGGTAGGAACCAGGTGTGGAAGCTGCCTCTATGGCGTCTCAGTACGGAAAACAAGATCAACGGAAAACAAATCGAGAACCGCAAGTAGCGGTGAAGACATTGGCCCTTATTACCGATGTCACTTCACGTGAAGTAACAACTTATCACACACGGTGAAGTGATTCCCATTTGAATTACACGACAATCACCTCACCGTGAGTGACACCCGTAATAAGGCCCATTTCGTCGAATTTGTTTCCAAATATCGCAAAGTGTCATAATAACTCTGTGAAGCACCTAATTTCGCGCTTTTCACCAGAATTTTTTCAGTATATTACAATGTTATCTAAATTTATATTTTTCCCATACACAAGTGGTTAATTCGGTTAATCAAATTTAAAATTGATCTAAGCGTTTGCTGCAGAGAAGCAAACGTCGAGAGTTATTTTTAGATCTACTGTACTTCTGAAAACTGAATACTTCCACCCCTGAAAACGTGAAGCAAAAGAATTCCATCAATCCTTTGTCTTTTGCATGCAAAACATAAACCCCCTTATTCTGCGAGTCACGTGACTCTCTCTCACCGGTGAGGTGACAATAGTCACCTCGTGTGAGGTGACTCTCCATGCAAATCAAATGGAGAGTCACCTCACACGAGGTGACTATTGTCACCTCACCGGTGAGAGAGAGTCACGTGACTCGCAGAATAGGGGGGAAAAAAAAACCTCACAAGTATAACATTAATTATCTTGTCTTAAGTCCAACGCACGTTGCATCCGTTTGTAAACAGGTTCGAAATATCTAGCATTTGGACAACAGATTTAGCTGCCATTTTGCTGCAATGAACCCCTAACGGATGTAACGTGCGGGGACACCTTTATACTATCAATTTGATCCGATTAAATACAGCGCATTTATAAGCTTAGTGCAACGTGGGAATGTGGTTGTAGGTAACTATTGGGCCTCGGCATTACACATTGAGCAACATTGCTTAGTAATATTTTTTTGCAAATTTGTTAATTCAGTATCGCAACCAACAAAAATATCCACTGGCAACTGAGGCATAAATGAATTGTGATAAAAATAATAAACCAACTCAAAAACTGCCGTCAACATTTGAGATATGGTTAAACTTAAAACGAAACAATACTCCTGCTATCACAAAGGCTTAAAACGAAAATGGTACAAATCACTGTTCATCTAGCATGGTCCTGTAGTAGAAGATTCAAACATACGCTTCACCGTACTCAGCCTAGGGCAGCCCATGGAGGTCGTACTTGGTGTACAGTGCTTGCGTTCGGTCGTACACTTGCCGGGCCACGGCTAGCATCTCCGGGAGTAGTTTGATAGCCGTGCTCGCATCCAGACAAACCTTCTCCAACAGATGGTCCCGGTTTGGCATTGCGTACATGGCCATGACGGCTCCCTTCCGGATCAACCACGGATGAAACTGAGCCAGTGTTTCGTTGTAAGACGATTGGCAGACTGCACAGGTATTGGCGTTTGCGGTTTCTAGTTCGCCTAGCCGCTTAAGAAATAGGTAGATAAAATCTGCAACGAGATATTGTGTGAAAATTAATCACTTCACAGAGTAATGCACCGAAAATTATAAGCCATCGATAAGATAACTAAGATAAGCACTAATAAATTGGCTAATTGAACTTTGGTGCTCACCAGCACAAAACAAACAACTCACCCAGACCCCTGTGAAGCCGTAGCAGTGTCCGACAGCCCGAGACGTAGTCCTTCTTAGTCAGCAAATTGCCATCTCGTTCGTAGTCCATCATTTTCTGAATGGACTCAAACTGCTCGCCGTGGTCTTGGTGCTTCCGCAGCTTCTCCAGGATCTCCACCTTCTCCTTGACGTCACTGCTGACGAAACCAAACACGGTTCCCATCAGCGAGAAGAATCTTGAGAAAAAGAAAAACACGCAATCATGAATCAACCTTCGGATACATGCCTTAATGGAGGGCACCTACTTGTAGAGTTCCTTGAAGGCCTCCAAATAAGCATCGATGAAAACGTCCTCTTCTCCTACTAGGCACCGTTCGAAGCTGCCGTGCACTTTTTGTAGATCAAACTTTTCCTGAGCCATTATGTTCCACTGGGTTCGTTCTACTAGGTTCTACCGTTCTTCGTTATCTTAAAACTATTTTCACGTATAGAACCTGCGAAGGACTTTCACGACTGCGAGGCTATCGGATGAATGGGATAATCTACGCTACTATTTACAACCTTTACAGCTAGGCGCAGCGTAAACCGACGAACGACTGATGACGAACAAGAACAACATCTTCTGGAAGAACTCGTGCTGGCAAAAACGACATCAGCTGATTCCAAGGGGCGCACGAAAGCATGCAGTCACTCACTGTCATGGTAATTTAATATGGCGAATCAACGACAGCATTACATTTTGAAAATGACTTATTTCGGAACTTTGGGGGGCATATAGTCTAGACACTGGCCCTATTTTGTACATTAATGACGTCTCTCTTATTTTAAAAATATCAGGGTGCTTATATACGCTGATGACATGAAGCTATTTTTAGAAATAGGAAGCGATAACGATATGAATGTGTTTCAGAATGAAATACATGTTTTTTACAGATGGTGTAGAAAAAGTTTATTGAAACTAAATATCAAAAAATGTAATCTTATAACGTACAGTAGAAAACTAAACAAACAAAATCTTTGTATTACATTAGGTAATGAAAATGTTCAAAAATGTGAAAATGTAAGAGATTTAGGTGTTATTCTAGATTCTAAATTGACATTTGTGGACCATTATAACACAATAATACATAGAGCAGGCAATATGCTTAATTTTATAAAACGTTTCGGTCTCCATTTTAAAGATCCTTATACAATTAAATCCCTTTACGTTGCTTATGTGAGGTCAATTTTAGAATATTGTAGCGTTGTTTGGTCACCCTATATGAAAAAGCATGAAGAACGAATAGAGTCAATCCAAAAGCAATTTTTATTATATGCACTACGTAAGTTAGGTTGGACGGCTTTTCCTCTCCCGTCATATGAAGCACGTTGCTTGCTGATCAGCATTCAAACATTGAAAGAAAGTCGGGATTACGCAAAGATTTCTTTATTAAACAATATCATTTCGCAACGCATTGACTCAGCTGATCTATTGTCAAGGTTAAATTTGTATGCACCTTCCCGACAATTACGCAATCGACAGTTGTTCCCCAGTAGATCGCCATCGGACCAATTACGGTAAATTTGGACCGGTAAATCAGATGATGACTTATGTCATAGAACATAAGTCCTAATGTTAATATGTAGTCTACGATTTGATTGATTGACGAATAAATAAATAAATAAATAAAATCTAGAGCTGTCAAACAGATAGCTCGCTTGAGAAAGAAGAAGAAGGATCTTTGGGGGATTCTAGCAAAAAAACATCATTAATACCAATGATTTCATGATTAGTTCATAAGCGGCGCCATTGGTGTAGTGGTAAGCGTGATTACCTCTCACCCTAGCAGGCCTGGGTTTAATCCCAGTCGGCGTCGCCGAGATGTTCTGAGGCATAACATCTTTGATCACGCCTTCCTTCGGAAAGGAAGTAAAGCCGTTGGTCCCCGGTTCATGAGTTGATGGATCGATAGGTAGGGTCCAGGTGTGGGAGCTGCCCCCTGGCGTCGGTAGCATTGGTGCTCAGCACGGAAAACAAATCAAGAAAAAAAAAAGATTAGTTCATAGAAGCTTAAATACAAAGTCTATAAGAACGCATTGTATGAATATTTTCACTCAGTGGGGTGGAACACCTAGGCTTCAGAAAAAAAAATCCATTCCAGACATCCCTTTTCTTTAATTTGACAAGGTTTGAAGATTGTATTAACCGTATTAACCCGTGAATAAGAGTGTTTGTTTTTCTCCTATCTCTTTTGTCTATAGGTCGACTTTTCAGAAATTTCTCTGCAGTTTGATCAAAGATGAATACTAAGATGAAACCAAAGATGAATACTTTGATGGCTGGTCATAATAACTAAACAATGAAGGAAGCAATGGCTATCTGTGCTCACAATTGAAAAGATTCCTGCACGATGAAGGTCGATGATGTGGTGCTGAACTTATCACGACCGGAAACTTCCGCATTTTGGGTCATCGCGGTTTACAACGGATGTAAGGTGGGGGCACATACGAAAACATTCGATTGTCGAGACCCGGATCGAGTTTATTGATGGGCGATAAGGATGTCGATACAAGGTGGAACATGTTTTTGTTAGAGCCAACAGGCAAAAGAAGATCGTAGATTTTTACAATACGAGAAAGCGTTGCAATTAAGTAAATACTATCAGAATTTTGATAAAGCTATCGCTGAAGTTATCCCAACTAACAATTTTCGCAATGTAAACGCTTTACTCATTTCATTTATACAGCCTCAAGCTGTATTCAAATGTTAAACAATATGAGGAAACTTTTACTCAACCTCTATACAAGCAAATCTGGCGAACTTAGTCAGCTACTTATGGCTGTTGGAACGGTCGGGAGAAGCTCTTATTGCATATCCATTAACGCTTCTATACAGCTGTTATCCTGCTGTTTAGTTGTATGTGAACTTGAAAGGCGCATATTCAACCTTTTTCCGGTTATTCAATAATCACTACACAGCTTTCTCTTGAAGCCGGGTTAAATACTGTTTACGCTTCTTTATATGAAGAAATTTATTGAGTTTATTTTGCTGTGAATCAAATTAATCGAAATTAGTTACAAATCATAACCAAATTACTTACCCTGCACCGGAACCTGGAATTGAACTCGAGACGACCTCATTGGCAAACCTTGACACTACCAACTGTGCAACGCCAACACTTTGAACTTATGTAAATAAATCAACATTCGCTTCTACAACAAAATCGCTGAGTAGAGGCTTTATAATAGTACACATGAATCACTTTTCTCGACTAGTTATAAAAGAGCAGAGTAAAAGCTGTAAAACTGCACACATCTAAAAATAAACCTAGTTGACTGTGAAAATGCTTCCGAAGTTGCTCTTACACAGTTTATTAGCTGAGTACAGGTTGTTTAGTTGTTGAAAAAGCACTTTTGATGTTTATGTTATTCAACAAGAGTGGTTGGTTGTGTAGAAGCCATCAAATGAGTAATATATTCACTTTGTTAGCTTTGTTTTGCAGCTACAAGTTGAAAGTTGATTAGTGTGTGTATAGAAGTGACATTAGCGTTTATTGGCTGATGTTATTCAGTGCGACTGACACATTGAATAATGGTTGTGAGAAAGTTGAGTAAACGCTCTCGAAACACATTTTGCTAGCTTTTGCTTGTAGCTGTATCTGCAGCTTCTTTTCAGCTACTTTACAGCACAACGCTGGAAAAGTTGGCTTACAAAGCTGAAAATGTTAGTTGGGTAGTGTGCTCGAAAAAGCCAACTGGCGAACAAAAATGAATAATCCCTTGTGAAGAACACGAATGTTTAAATTGAGTTTTTAGGCGATATTCAATTAAAAATAATGAAATAAGTGATCGAATTAAGCCAAAGGATAACTTAAACTTAAGCTCAAATATTAATTGTTGTTCTGAAATGATGTTTTTTTGCTTAGATTGTTTTAAAATGTTGATAATTGTCAAACCAGCAAAAAAAAATTGAAATTTGTTTACCGTTTTCTAAAGTTCCCAAGGGGGAGAACTGTAGTTGTATTTTTGCAATCGAATAGTTACATTGTACGTAACTCATAAGCTTATGCGTAAAAGCAAGCACGTAAATAAACGATGGGAGCAGGGTGTCGCTTTCTTAGTGCATAGACTGCAGGACAAACAACAAGTGTTTCTGTATATCGTATTCATCCTGAAAATAAAATTAACAATACCTTGTTAGACCGTTTTAGCAACCGGTGGAAACTAACGATTTAAAATTGGCTCACTACTTGACTAGCCTCAACAATCAATACGAAACTGACGATTTTAAATTGGCTCACCACTTTAGTAGCCTATTGGTCCCAAGCAAACGATTAACGTACCCTATTCTAGTTGAAATTCTATTACTACACTATGTTTGTTTTGATATGCTATGAAAGTTTGACAGATAACATCAGGGGTGTGTGGATTCATGCAGAACATGCAGGGGTGAGTGAAATAGCTTGGGACTGCTTGGGACCGTTGTTCTGGTACTGAGTGAGCCAAAAATAATAATGATTTTCTTCGGGACCCAGTGGTCTTAGAGTTACCTCTATGCTAGCCTATTGGTCCCCAGTAAATCGATTAACGTACCCCATTCTAGTATAAATTCCAGTACTACACTATGTTTGTTTTGATTCGCTATGAAAGTTTGACAGATAAAATGAGGGGTTCGTGAATTTTCCTATGTTTTGAGTGACACAAAACAAACATAGTGTAGTACTAGAATTTCGACTAGAATGGGGTACGTTGATCGATTTACTGGGGACCAATAGGCTAGTCAAGTAGTGAGCCAATTTTAAATCGTTAGTTTCCACCGGTTGGTACAATGCTGCATAAAACGGGTTGTCGAATTTTGTGCTGGGAAAAGCTCATTTAGATCGATAGATGTATCTCTGTTTGCTTCGATCTGATTAATTTACTAATTAAAAGCTTTATAAACGTTGACTGTCTTTCCGATTCAACACCAGAAGTTTGATCTAATATTGCCGTTTCAGGGAAAATAATTCGATGCAACTGACAGCCACAACATGATATTCAAACTGATAATCAGACGCCAAATGCTGATTTTTCTTTGAACTGGCAATAACAAACTGAATAAGTGTAATTTACACATACATTGAAGCTTCAATTCGACTGTTTTAAATTTATTGAATAACATGCTTTACAATATTGCTGAATAAAGATAAATACAATCTGCTCTTATACCACTATGCGTTTATGTTTAAACCCATGCTTTGTAAATGCTTTATAAATGACGTATTAGATCTAGTATTAGATTCATTATTCCACAAAACTGGTTCAGCCTAACAACAAGACGAAATCAGTAAAATAGTGATTACCGTTTCCGCTTTCCAAGTAGAAGGTCGCGAGTTCAATCCCAATCTCATACCTTGTTTTAATTTTGTTCTACGTAATGAACGATCACATTACTCACGATTACGAATTCATTTATCTAGTTAAAAAAAAACCAGTATCCTTTTCTTGGAAATTAGAGAGGTGAGATAACATTAGTCACATGTCTACGTTGAATGAATTAATCATTCTCACAGGACCTTGAAGGAGCTAGAGTTGCGATCGGGAGTGCTGATAGGTATTCGGTTTCAAGCAAACTTTTATTGATTATTGAGCTGCCGATATGCTGCATTCTATAGGATAGTCCAGAAGGAAAAGCAAGCGGCTGGTGATAGGAAAGTACATGGTTCGAATCCTAGTTCGAATCCCATGCAACAAGACATGTGTGGTGCCGTGCCTCGTCATAAATAATGAAAACCTGGGTACTGAGGAGTCGACCAATTTTATTTTGCAAGCCAATGAAAACTGCTTGAAATTTTTCTCAAGTTTAAAACTGGTTTGCTCTTTCTCAGTCGATTCCCGCCAAAAGCTCTGAGCCAGGAGTGCTCGAGCCCCCATGACTCTAAAAAAGGTTGTTTACATACATGTTTTGCCAAATTATGTTTTACTGTAATTGAAAACTCAGCTGCCGCATAAAAACTATGCTGGTTTTTAAACTTTCATCACTGAGCCTGTTGGTTTTTATCTTTGAGCTTAACATTAAGAATGTGTTTTGAAAAAGTATAGATCATTTTTATGAGATTACAATGCTTGACTGTAGATAAGAACAGTAACTGCATTTGCTGCTTCTGAATGTTTGGCTCCCGCTTGACAGTTCACACTGGCTCCCAAGTGACAAGCACCTTGAGTGAGTCCGCAGTACTCAGATGAAAACTATCTCTAACGAAACAACACAGTCTCTCGTTTTTATTTTCGAATTAACTATCCCGTAGTTGAATAATCGTTTGATAAATTTATAATAGTGTCTAATTAAACATTACTTCACATCATAATCATGCGAATAATCGCTGTTTAAGGAAGCAATGATGTCTAATAATCGCTGAATAATCAAAAATTTGATTGAATAAGCTCTGCTACAACTCAAGTATGTCGAATTAAAGCTTCCCGACACATCTTATACAACACCAAGTAGGTTGAATAAATTATCCAGATTTGTGTAAACAAAACCTGAACAGAAGTTATTTTTAAAAATAGTCATCGTAGTTCATTTTAGTAAACAAACTAACACTTCTTCCTTGTGGACCACCCTCCTTCTACCCTCACTAGGCTACGCCACTGTGCCCAACAGCAGCTTAAGTAGATTAAGTTTGCACGCTTTTTTATCAATCAATCAGCAGAGTGAACTTAGTAAGATATTTATCAGTTAGCTGCTCGTCTTGGCCGGGAGTTTACGTTATACAGCTAAAGTGGCCAGCCGTTAACCGTTGCAGTGTAAAAGTCTTTTGCACGTTCTGGTGAAAGAAGTTTTACGATACGATTAATTATTAACAACAACATCGTGCGCATCACTACGTTAAGCGTGATATTTAATTATCCATTAAAATCGAATAAAATGCCTCAGGAAAAGTTCAATCTACAGAGAGTACAAAGCAGCTTTGAGCTGTCTTCAGCTGGTAACGACGATGTTTTCATCGATCCTTATTTGGAAGCTTTCAAAGAACTCAACAAGTAGGTTTCTTTTGTTGACGTGGATTCTAGGTAATTTCAGTTATTTGCCATTAATAGCGCAACGTTTTCATTTAAGATTTTTATCCATGATGGGCACCGTGTTTGGATTCATCGTCAATGACATAAAAGTGAAAGTACAGATTTTGGAGAAATTGCGTAAGCAACAAGACCATGGCGATCAATTTGAAACCGTGCAGAAAATGATGGACTACGAACTAAATAGTGGTCTACTTAACAGGAGCGATTACATCTCGGGTTGTCGAACGTTTCTACGACTTCACAGGGGATTAAGTGAGTTTGTTGTGTGTATGTGTGTGTTATCGTTCTAGTTTGACATGAGTTATGTTGGCCAGCTGTTATACGAAAGGGTTTATCTTATCGGGAATGGTTTTAGATAAGGATTTTTTTTGGATCTGCCAATCCTCATATTCTGCTATTCGATATCGAGTTATACGCAGAAGACCGCCAAGAACGTTTGAATTTTTGATTCATGGTACATGCATAGACAAACGGACATAACTCTCGCAAGTTGTTCATGGAACAGGCATTTAATGGTCAATTTAAGAGTATCGTAGTTGGTAGTACCAACAATCAATACGAAACTAACGATTTTAAATTGGCTCACCACTTTAGTAGCCTATTGGTCCCAAGCAAACGATTAACGTACCCTATTCTAGTTGAAATTCTATTACTACACTATGTTTGTTTTGATTCGCTATGAAAGTTTGACAGATAACATCAGGGGTGTGTGGATTCATGCAGAACATGCAGGGGTGAGTGAAATAGCTTGGGACTGCTTGGGACCGTTGTTCTGGTACTGAGTGAGCCAAAAATATAATGATTTTCTTCGGGACCCAGTGGTCTTAGAGTTACCCCTATGGTAGTACCGCCACCTGTGGCGCGCAAAGTCAATTCCCTTGCGTTTGACGTTTACACACTACCACCATCTGCGTACTACCCACCACAGTGTACTCAACAGATGGCGGTAATGTTTTAGCGATGATGTTTTGAGGTGAGAAATATTCAATGAGTTATGTGTTCCTATTAATGGATTTCCCACCCCAAAATAGGATTTACCTGGGAATGGTGGATACACATATTATGTCAAAGTCTTGGGACGTGGGGGGGGGGGAGTTGGTTGAGAGGAGGGTGTAAGATTTTGTGACAAGCTATGTATGTGTTATAGAAACTGCGTGATGAAGGGAGGAGGGGTTTTTTTTAATTTAGCGTGACATAATTAAAGAATGGCCCCTATTCACAGACAAACAGACATAATTTATTGAACATATTATACTGTAAAACACTGTCGCTACCTAACCTGATGCCAGACTATACCACCATAGAGTTAACTCTATGACTAGAAGGTCCCGAAATAACGTGATCAACTTTTTGGCTCAGCTCTGGTACCAACAATCAATACGAAACTAACGATTTTAAATTGGCTCACTACTTGACTAGCCTATTGGTCCCAAGCAAACCGATTAACGCACCCCATTCTAGTCAAAATTCTAGTACTACACAATGTTTGTTTTGATTCACTATGAAAGTTTGACAGATAAAATGAGGGGTTATTCGATTTTCCTATGTTTCGAGGGGTGAATCGATTAGCTTGGGACCGAATATAGTACCAGAGCTGAGCCAAACAGTTGAGCACATTTCTTCGGAACCTACTAGTCTTAGAGTTACCTCTATGCTGGTACTCTCTTCGGTCCCAAGCTAATCAAATCACCCCTCGAAACATAGGAAAATCTATTAACCCCTCATTTTATGTGTCAAACTTTCATAGCGAATCAAAACAAACATTGTGTAGTAGTAGAATTTCGACTAGAATGGGGAACGTTAATCGTTTGCGTGGGACCAATAGGCTAGTCAAGCAGTGAGCCAATTTTAAATCATTTGTTTCGAATTGATTGTTGATATTACTCTAATGTTAAATAGTAGACGACATATAAGCAAATTGATATTTTTTATATGACTTTAAAATTTAATTACTTTTCTTACAGACTTCATTCGCGTATTTCTCACACGATTATGTGAGCTGGAAACAGCGGACGAAAGTACTTGTCCTATTTGCCAAGCATCCTATAATGAAACACTAGCTGAGTTCCAGCCATGGTTGATCCGGAAAGGTGCTCTAATGGCAATGTATACGCTGCCCAATCGTGATCAGCTGTTGGAAAAGATTAGTGAAGATGCAAGTACGGCATCCAGACACCTGCCGGAAATGTTAAGAGCTGGCCACCAAGTGTACGACAAAACGCAAGCACTATACTATAAATATGACCTGCTTAGACTGCCTTAACGAAGAAAGGGTTGACTCCCTGAGAATGGTGCATGATAGTTTACAATCCAATTTCCAATGGTATATCAGTAAATCAAACGAATCAAGGTTGTGATAAAGGATGTTATTTTTGTTTTTAACCAAGTGATCTTTCCATAAAATAGTTTACTTTTAAGGTATTCAATATTTTCCGAATCATCCTGGAGTTCAAATCAAATGATCTACTGAATCATCCACTACGAGTAAATATTTCGAAGTGGCGAGACATGTCCAAACAGATCCATAGAGTCTATGCAAATCATTTACGAGTAATTTCCATTGAATTGTTATGGAGTTATCTACTTAGTCCGGAGGCCACCATCTTGTATTTGAGTCAGCCATTATGATTTTCAAAAAGGTGACAGACAGGAATGGATCATTCCAGGCAAAATAGTGAACAAAAGATTGACTGTATGAATCGACCTTCTCCGATGTGTATAAAACTTTGCATAAATGTTTGCTATGGGCTAAATTTCGGCCATTTTGGATCTTGTAAAAGTTTCAAAATGACGTCCTTGGCATTTTTCAAAAAAAAAATGTAGCATGGAAACGGTATTTCTGATCGAACTGACGTCTGAGACAAAGTTGTAGACGAGCTTGGGACCGAAGATAGTACCAGAGCTGAGCCAAAAAGTTGAGCACTTTTTTTCGGAACCTTCTGGTCTTAGAGTTACCTCTAAGCGGGAGGGGGTTTTACATGTACGTTTTTTTCAAGTCTCATTCCTCATTGTGGTGGACACGCCGTGATCCACTTTAAGCCGCTGACCTAGTCCTGCTTGATGCAGGACCTAGTGCCACCATAGAGGTAACTCTAAGACCAGAAGGTCCCGAAAAAAAACGAGCTCAACTTTTTGGCTCAGTTCTGGTACCAACAATCAATACGAAACTAACGATTTTAAATTGGCTCACCACTTTAGTAGCCTATTGGTCCCAAGCAAACGATTAACGTACCCGAGAACGTACCCTATTCTAGTTGAAATTCTATTACTACACTATGTTTGTTTTGATTTGCTATGAAAGTTTGACAGATAACATCAGGGGTGTGTGGATTCATGCAGAACATGCAGGGGTGAGTGAAATAGCTTGGGACTGTTTGGGACCGTTGTTCTGGTACTGAGTGAGCCAAAAATAATAATGATTTTCTTCGGGACCCAGTGGTCTTATAGTTACCTCTATGCTGGTACTATCTTCGGTCCCAAGCTAATCGATGCACCCCTCGAAACATAGGAAAATCCACGAGCCCCTTATTTTGTCTGTCAAACTTTCATAGCGAATCACACCAAACATAGTGTAGTACTGGAATTTATACTAGAATGGGATACGTTAATCGATTTGCTTGGGACCAATAGGCTAGTCAAGTAGTAAGCCAATTTAAAATCGTTAGTTTCGTATTGATTGTTGGTGCCACGCCGTCCGAAGCGGTAATGAGCAGAGGCAGGAGAGCAGCGCTGATTTATATCTTTTCAGGTTCAAGCAGAATGATGAGCAACCAAGTGGTATTCGTTTATGATGACTGGGTTTGGGAAAAAGGCTTATTTCATGAAAACAGTGATAAAATTATCATTTGTACATTTTCAAAATTTTAATAACAGAAAAAACTTTCTTCGGTCCCAAGCTAATCTATTCACCCCTCGAAACATAGGAAAAACCAATCACCCCTCATTTTATCTGTCAAACTTTCATAGTGAATCAAAACAAACATTGCGTAGTACTAGAATTTCGACTAGGATGGGGTACGTTAATCGTTTGCTTGGGACCAATAGGCTAGTCAAGTAGTGAGCCAATTTAAAATCGATAGTTTAGTTTAAAATCGATAGTTGGTACCAGAGCTGAGCCAAAATGTTGAGCCCGGTTTTTCGGACCTTCTGGTCTTAGAGTTACCTCTATGTTTTAGTATATGTTCCTCGTGATACTGCTGTACTCGTGGAGCTCAACCAGTTCCGCACTTCCTTTTCTTTGGATTGAAGGTTTTCAATCCAGATCCATAATGTTTACCTTTTCCGGGTATTACAGGACGGTACCAAGTTTTTTTTTTCTGGCTTTTTATCAATCGCATGGTAACATTATTAGCAGTGGTGCCAGAATTGATGGAAAATTTTGTTTATCATGCGGGGGATGGGTGTCTGAACCATTTGTGGAATAGTTCTATGATTTGGGTTATCATTCGTTTATGGTATTTTTTATTAGGGAGCACAATGTGGCAAAGTTACTTATCCCCTGCTCAAACGTCATTAAGCTCATGGAATGCACACCAAAAATTGGAATCAAGGTCCAGCAAAATGGATTGCTGAACTGCTTCCAACAGAAGCAGTTTTTACTGAAAAAACAGCAATCCTGAAAGTTTTGCTGAACGATCAGTTAATTGTATGATCTGTCAAACTAATAACAACAATCAATACGAAACTAACGATTTTAAATTGGCTCACCACTTTAGTAGCCTATTGGTCCCAAGCAAACGATTAACGTACCCGAGAACGTACCCTATTCTAGTTGAAATTCTATTACTACACTATGTTTGTTTTGATTCGCTATGAAAGTTTGACAGATAACATCAGGGGTGTGTGGATTCATGCAGAACATGCAGGGGTGAGTGAAATAGCTTGGGACTGCTTGGAACCGTTGTTCTGGTACTGAGTGAGCCAAAAATAATAATGATTTTCTTCGGGACCCAGTGGTCTTAGAGTTACCTCTATGCTAATAACGTGATGAACTAGCCTATGGCTAAAAATCACGGAATAAAGAAAAAAGAAAGTGATCTGTCAAACTTTCGATCATTTTGCTTTTCACATTCCTTTGTCCTTTGTTTTCAACAAGTCGGGTAGAAAGTTCCTTTTTAACAGTATCATCAACCGGTGGAAACAAACGATTTTTAATTGGCTCACTACTTGACTAGCCTATTGGTCCCAAGCAAATCTATTAACGTACCCCATTCTAGTCGAAATTCTAGAACTACAATATGTTTGTTTTGATTCGCTATGAAAGTTTGACAGATAAAATGAGGGGTTCGTGGATTTTCCTATGTTTCGAGGGGTGCATCGATTAGCTTGGGACCTAAGAGAGTACTAGAGCTGAGCCAAAAAGTTGAGCACGTTTCTTCGGGACCTGCTGGTCTTAGAGTTACCTCTATGGTAGCATCGTGCACTTATGAAGTAAGTTTATGAACTTTATCATTGAATCAATATGGGGTAAAAGAAGAAAGTCCGAAAACACATGACCTTCATTGTGACCTTCATTGTCACCTTTTGTGCGTACGAGCTAGAAGAGTTATCAGTGATTGCAGTGGTTCAATGAAAATTAAATAAAGCATTTCCGAAAACATTACGCTGCAAAGTCACCAGGCCAATCGGGTGAGATCTTTTCATTTTATCTATTTATCCAGCTTTCCATGCTCGGTAATGGCGGCCTGTTTGTATGAATAAATGTATCCTTCACTGTGCTTTTTGACACTAACTGGAGGGCGTATGTTGTTCCATTTTCTTCTGTTCCTGGGAGAGGGAAAGGGAAGGGGTTGAAATTCGAACATCCAGATAGTGTCAAAAAGCACAGTGAAGGATACATTTATTCATACAAACAGGCCGCCATTACTGCTGGGATATTCCATTTTTTTCCATCAATAATGATTTATCAAATGCTATATATTGAGTTTCCAAATCATTCACCCTCTCACTAATACAACTCTTTCCTTCCTGTGACACCTATGAAGGTAGTATGGGTTCCCTGCACCTTCTTAAGTAGATGTTGGATTAACTTCCCGTCCCTTCCCTATGCAATTGTAAGGATTTGGCCAGGTGTATAATGTGCTGCTTGTTTTGTAGATTTTATTTTTGTGTGGGGAAAATCACTAATCCCAAGTGTTATTTTCTGCGTCAACGTCAACACATTTCTGCGAAACGTATTAGTTGACCATTATATAGGCACCCACAATTTGTACAATCGCATATGCTATGCTATATGTACAATGCTTTATCATTGAACCAATATGGCAATACTGTGACCTCTGTTGCTCCTTGGGGTCACATCGGATCGTCTCCGGTGGGGATTGGTAATTGGCGGGCGTTCTAGAGACCTGAAAAATTAACAAAACTTACTTTTATCAATTGGACCTTATTCAGAAAAGATTTTTGTTCTATGTGAACCTCTAAAACCAAAAAAAAAACAATTTAAAAATTTAGAAAAAAATATATGAAAAAAAAAAGTTGATTTTTCATTGTTTTTTTCCACTTTAGGCAGACCTGAAAATTATTTATTGTTAATTTTTTCATGATATCAGCAACAATCAATACGAAACTATCGATTTTAAATTGGCTCACTACTTGACTAGCCTATTGGTCCCAAGCAAATCGATTAACGTACCCCATTCTATTCGAAATTCTAATACTACACAATGTTTGTTTTGATTTGCCATGAAAGTTTGACAAATAAAATGAGGGGATCGTGGATTTTCCTATGTTTCGAGGTGTGCATCGATTAGCTTGGGACCGAAGAGAGTACCAGAGCTGAGCCAAAAAGTTGAGCACTTTTCTTCGGGACCTACTAGTCATAGAGTTACCTCTATGATATCAATGGTTCACATTGAGTAAAAATCTATTTCCTTTAAGATGCGCCAGGTTTCAAGTCATTTGGATGAGAACTTTTTGAGTTATCTTTTCCGCCAATTTGGAAAACACTGTTTCTAGAAAAACGCGTTTAAAGTTTTGGGTTGTGTAAATACATGATTTCTGGAACTGGATACCAGGGCCATAGATCACTCCTTCCTCGTGCTCGCAGCATTTTTTTAAAAAATATTAAAGTAAAATATAAAAAAACCGATAAAAATTTTTTTTTACTTGTATTTTTCCCCTTAATACATTGAGGTAAAAAGGTTTCTACCGTGTTGCCATTAAAGTTGTCAATATTCGTACATCGATGATATTGATGGCGAAATTGATGACAACGATATTTTTTTCGAACCCACATACAAAGTGACACCGAGGGGCGCTAATAAGGTGATTTTTGCAAATGTAATCGTACTTATTTAAAATAGTTCCAGTGTACCAAAATTGATGAAATTTTGGGTTTTGGTACGAATATGTATTTACCTAAATACAGTTACAGAACCCAATTTAATAGTTTTGACAGCTAAACCTAGGCTTAGTCGGCTTAAAAAGTATCGATCATTGAGTATAAGATTAAGCTCGAGATTAAGTGTGTATTTTGGGTATTTGAAAGGTAATTTCAAACCCCTTAAACGTTCAATGCATCGACATGCCCCTTTCGCAGCAGGTCACTCGTTGATTGGTCACTCATTTACTTGCACACAGGAACATAATTTGTTACTTTGACATTTCTCCTAACAAACTCTATCTCGCTTATCGTCTTTTTCAAAACTTTGCAGTGAAAACAAACTCGAGTCGTGTCGCTAAAATCCGCAGATTTCTGCAAAGTGCCGTCCAGAATACTGTTCCTGGTTGTTTAGGTAACCAGTTCTCGGCCTACGCAGTATATCCCAAGTGATCCTTCGGGAATCTCCTCCCACGTCCGAATGCTAAATATTGCCAAAATTCAATAACCAACCGGTTAGTCCTGTTTCGTCTGCTTCATCGATGTTCGCTGCTGTGAAGTTTGGGTGTTTGTTTGGCGGATGAGACTTGAGTGCAAAATCAAAATTAATGCAGACGGAATAAAATTGCGTGAAAACGGGGCAAAGCAAAGAAGAAAGAAAACGGCCCGTGCATAAAAATGAGCCTCCCGAAGCGCACCCACGACAGTCAGTGAAGCAGTTTACCATCGGGCGGAGCAGCTCGGTTCAGTCCGTGCGCAGTTCATCGGCCGCTTTCAATTGGGGAGCTGTGAGTGTTTGTTTTTGGTGTATTAGGTGTAGCGGAGCAGGAAGAGATTGTGCTGTGCAAATCGAATCTCCAGGTGAAAGCAACGAGCGGTTCCGTTTGGATCGGATTAGCTGGTAGGTCGCATATTTTAGTGGTAGCTAGACTAGAAACCTACTTAGCTTGTTGTAACTGATCGTGATCTTTAAATTTTAAGGATCATTAAACATAAAACATATGCGTAAATAAAAAATTGCATGCTCATGTTCGTTAGGTTATTTCTGCCCCCTCCCACTCCCACTTCTGTTGCCATTATTCGCGATTGAATTGGAAAGGCGGCAATGTTTTCAGTAATAAGCGCCTGCACTTTGTTTATCTCATACGACAAAGGTGTGTCAGCAATTTATATTTCTCTGTGCTTATCTAGTTTAATACAATGATTGATGATCGATAGGTGTGATTGAACAATAACATTTAAAAGGCATATTTTTCTCTTTAATTCCAGCCACCATGGTCCACGTTATGATGCGATTTTCGTTGCTATTATGTCTACTTTTAGCCCAATGGGTTGCAAGTCAACAATCGGACAGGTAAGTCGTACTCATAAACGTGTGAAAATTCCCTTTCACTTCTTGTTCTAACAGGATTAGTCATTTACTATCCATGCAACCAGTGATGGATCGCTCTTTTGGGGCTTTTTCATTTTTTTTTTAAATTTTTGAATGCTAACGTAAAATCCAGTTGATTTTTTAGTTAAAAGTTCGTAAAAAATATAGTTCAATGCTATTAATCTCCCTATTAAAATGCAAAATGTCCACACTGTAGAGCAGCACTCTGTGTTTTCACTGAAGGTGCACTCGAAAGCACTCTCAAGTGTACTTTCAGTCGAAAGAAAGAGTGTAGCTCTGCGGTGCGGAAAGTTTTAATTTTGATAGGGAGATTAATAGCACTAATCTGTTTATTAACTGAAAATTCAATTGGATTTAACATAAGCATAGAAATGAAAAAAGTATCAAAAGAGCGATCCATCCCTGCATACAACTCTCGATTCTCGATTGTTTACTGACCACAGTAGGTTTCTTTCCCCCTGTCTGTGTTATCGCTAGATAGTAAAAGTAGTTTTTGAAGTATTTTATTCCGCCGCTAGTCCTGGGTTAAGTTGCAGAAGCGATAGAATTGCAGCAATCATCAAGTGGCCATGGCCAGGAAAAGTTCATTTTTGTGACTGGTTTCTAAAAAAAAACTCTTTCGTGAAAGGTTTCCCAAACGCACGATGAAATCGATTCGGTTTGTGCACGTGGGTGTTGCGGTTTCTTTTGTGATCATTGTAGTCGTCGGAGTTTACGTTGCTGTGACCCACCGGCGATCAATCGCAAATGGACTTGTGAGGTGATTAATTTAATATATACTGGCGATAGAGGTTTCCTAGCTCTGCCGTTTGAGTAGGTGCTGGCTTATTTTCAAGAGCGAATGACTATCAATCTATACTGCAATCTCCACATTTGCTTTCAATTCACGAACAGTTGGTGGACAATCTCGGTTTGATGTTTTGCGCTGTTTTACAGACTTGGCAGTATTTTGCATTATAGAGTTAGAATAGGCTGGCTAACATACTAAGCAAGTTTTTCGCCTCAATTCACTCTTCTAGGGGAAATTGCTCTAATTTTGGTCTAAGTGATCTAAGATTGGGCCCATCGCTAAAAATATGATATTTGCAATTTTATTTGGGACGGTACTAATGGATATTTTTGGTCGCTATTGAATATTTAGTAGATTGCTGAATTTATGTATAGGCCCAAATTAGGGACATTGAGGCTGACATTACAATCATTTCCCCTATTATAGGCACACTTTAAATCAAATAATTTAGGGAAATGACAAGTGCACTTTTCAATTCCGGGACATACTCTCATTGTTATTGCATTAATTATTATAGAATAAATGGTATCCGACCATTTGGCGAATGTGTAATTTGGCCGAATACTATACCTATATATGAAATACGAAATTGAATAATGGAGAAATTTAATGATTCCAGATCTTAAGCTTATTAGAAATTTACTTTTCTTCTGCACCTCAAGGCAATGGATGTCAATTAAAAAGCGTTCTTCTCGAACATCATTGGCGTAAATAAGGGAGGGGTCTGCCTCCTCTGATCTAGAGCTGGCCCACCCCAGTTAATTTAAGAAATAAATAACGGAGCAATCTATTTTTATCCTGAGCGGTGGCATCAACTTCTCCAATGAAATCCATAGAAGATGGGAGGTCGGACTCCCTACGTTGCTCTTTCACGTAGTTCCAAAAACATTTCGAGTGTAGCTTAAGTTTGCGCTGGATAGCTCGCTCGAAACTTGAAAAGCATTAACGACAGACTCGTCGGTACATGTGTTTCTGCCTCACATGATGAAGTTTCAGAGGAAGCGTGCGATACTTCGTAAATCTTCTCAATGCTGCTCTCTTGATTGACTTCAACCTACGTAGCTCTCTCTTCTGCCAGGGAGGGTGAGAAACTTTGTGGTGACTTCTTTTCGAGACGTGCCTGGCAATGACATATTCCAAGTTTGCGCTGCAGCCTCAACGTCATCAGGACCAAGGATGTTCTCCCATTTCATGCTAGACAATGCATATATGATGCTATGGAAGTCATAAGAAACCGTAGCAGGATAACCGTCGAAATCACGCACGAGTTTGTCCTCAAAAGTGACAATTAGAGGAGGGTGATGCGGAACTGGCTTAGTTAGTGTACAAAGAGCCGAGGAAATAATGGAGCCTTGTCCTGAGTGCTTACCAATCACAGGTCCAAACTACGATAATTTTCGATAACTACATGGTTAATTTGAGTTGTCGAGTAGACTGCGTGAAATGTAGCTATCAATATCTGGATAGATAAATCCGCTATGAGATGGACTCCACGAAATGCCTGGCAGATTGCAATCACCCAAAATGAATATCTTATCAACTGGAGTGGCACTTTGGATTACTGTGAAAACTGACCGACAGTGAGTATCGACGGGGGTGGCGACACATCTAAGTCTCAATTCTAGATTCTCAAAAAACCTAACACTAGCGAATCAATCTTCAAAAAAATCTTCTTTCATTTCTCGGATCTACTTCAGAATCGCCTTCAATCTTTTTTCTATCTACGCAGCGTGCGCGCAGATACCTATGTATATCAAAGCACAATCTTTCTTGCATCATAGATAAAGTTGTTCTCCTTGAGTATCGGTGAGTTCATTGTCCCGGAATCGATCAGGTGGAATGTACAGAGCGCATAGAAATAGTGTGCGATCACCCAGAATGATGCCTGTTCAAACCTGCTCCAAATTGTTTCATGAATCGTCCTTTGCCAACAACCCGCCACGGATAGCTACTAGGACACCTCCACCAGTAGATGTACGGCTGTTGTTAGGATTCCAATTGACTGGAAAGCGTTCGAGGATCAAGCCACGTTTCGCTCAGGACAATAACATCGTAGCAACGAGCCGATACAGCTAGTCGGTACTCTTCAACATCAGAAGTCATTCCACCGGCGTTTTGGTAGAAGATCACGACGTCCTGCTTACGGCAAGGAATCGAACGACCGTTCTCTCTGGTAATCACGGATACATCAGGCAATAACTGACCATCATCGAGTGGGTTAGAAGACCCCATCTCCACATTCAATTTCTGATCAAAGCACAAAACTGACATCTGCCGCCGTGTTCGCGGAAAATGTTTATCCTAGCCACGAATACGCGTACAAAATCTGTGGGTTGGTTCGTGTCTAATCTATTCCGGACAAATTATTTTTATCTAGATAGATAAAAATAAAGTCTATAGTTTTGACAGATGGGATCAGGCTTGCTTCCACTGCGACATCTGAATTTTCGTTCCGGAATCTTGAAAGTTTCTTCAAGCTTGGATTATTCCTTGGATGCTTACACTTAAAAAAATATGCACGTCCGGTCTACGTGAAAACATAGGTAGCTTTCGTCCATACTACGTGTGCTATGTATAGCAGTAAGTTAGTAGCAGAGCTGCCAGGTGGTTTTATAAAAAATCTGTATCCACTCTATTAAAAAATCTGTATTTTCTGTATTGACGATTTTTTTCTCAATTAATCATGTTTTGTTGTTTTACAAATACAGTGCATACAAAATAACCATAAAAAATGCTTAACCACCTATTCGGGCTATCGTACTAACCATACGGGATATAATTGCGCCATTTGTGATATCGTCCGTACTTATTTATAAGAGTGATATGAAGCCGTTTGAAAATGTATGGAGATTTTAGTTTCTATTCATTATCTTCCTGATAAGCAGTTTTAAATGCAAAAAAGTGCACGAGTTCATTACTATTTGATATTTTTAATATAGATGAATACAATTAATTACATCATTTGTGTGGTAGTTACACCGAAAAGTCGAGAGATGTCGCCCCGCCAGTGCTGGTAAAATCATTTTTGCAGTATGGAGAATATCAGAAAATCCGCAATTTCTTACGAAATACATTTTCAATGCAAGTAAAATGTTTACGAGTACTTGTATTTGTACCATTTTAATGTGCTCGGGCACTTTTCTTGTATTTAACATACATGCTTATATTGGAAATATTCAATTAATACTGTAAATCCCCATACAATCTCAAATCGTTTACTACCAGCTTCATATGCATCCGAAAGCGGTTGGTCCTCTGGTTGTGAATGCTGTCAAAAACACCATAACATGATTAATTGTCGATGGAAATTTGATAGGTTCCCGAGCAGAGGGTGAGAACAAAATGAAAACAAGAATTATGTTGTTTTCATTATTCCTGATAACTCAAATTGATTTCATTTTGATGGAGTTGATGGCTAACAGAACAAAAATAAGAGCTAAAAGATATGCGAAGAATATCAAAATTATAACATATATTGATATTAGTGAGAACTGCTTGATAACTTATTTTGATATAGATTTTTTTTCTCAAGCATGTTATAAAAATCTGTATAAATCTGTATTGTAATTTAAAAATCTGTGATAAATCTGTATTCTGTATCGGGTCTGTATTAAGATTAAAAAATCTGTATAATACAGATAAATCTGTATAAATAGCAGCGCTGGTTAGTAGTAGGCTACGACTTTAGATACGTAAGCTCGGGTATAATAAATTGTATATCTGGAAGAGAAAGACGTGTTTATTTACTTCTCTGTAAATCCGATTCCGTGAAGTGAATTAAGAAAATGGTTCCTGTTCCGGAGTACCACATCTGGCGACAAGTAGGTGGAACCTACAATCCGTATTCGTTAGGTATGATTAAAAACTATCAAATAAGTACAACGGTGCATGCAATTCAACATCAATTTTGTTAAATATATAGAACTCAGATTTACTAGCCAATATTTCAAAGGCAAGAAGCTGCTGCTGTTACGCAGAAATAGGCAAAAGCCGCTGCTGTTACGCAGAAACAGATTATTCCGCTGCCGTAGAGCAGGGACAGGCGTAGAGCCGCTTCGAAGAAATCAAGGCCAAAACAACACGATTCGTTCGAAAGGAATGAGTTTTGCAAGCTGACAAGTAGGGAAGTACATCTGAAGGATTACGTGAGCCACTACGAAATTTTTGATGC